TTTATACAAGCACACAAAGAAATATACAGGAATATTCAATGTAGTAGTTATAGTGTCATGATCTAAGTGTTTAGCAATAAAGGAAAGTTTAAATAAGTTGTGACATTTACACTCCAGAACATTATATGTACAGTGCAGTAAAGGTTTCAAAAGAAAGGTGTGAGAGGGCCAGGGATTTAGCTCAGTGGCACCTTGCCTGCCTCAAAGCACAAGGTCCTGAGTTTGATCCCTGGTACCAAAAAAAAAAAAGGTGTGAGAGCAGTCTAGATTGAAAACATTTTGACTGGTCTATCCAGCATTTCACTTAAATGAGTTAGTAATATTTTTAATTCTGGAGAGTGCATATTTTAAAAATTTAGATTTCTCAAAAACTCAGATTTGTCAACTCCTGTTCTACATTTCCAAGTGGCAGGAGTTAGCTGCAGCTGGTTAGCGCCTGATTCTATTAGATGGAAAATCTCTAGAAAACTAACTTGTAAATGCTATCTGCTTAAGCCTTCTATAACTGCTAAGCTGTAGGCAGCTAGCTCTGTTGTTACCCTTTAAAGGGAATAAAGCTGGGCATGGTGACACATGCCTATAATCTCAGCACTCTGGGAGGCTGAGGCAGAAGGACTAGGTTTAAGTCCAGTCTGGGCAAGTTAGTGACTTAGCAAGTTGCCTCAAACTAAAAAACTTAAAAAAAAAAAAAAAAGAAAAAGAAAAAGAAAAAAACTTTTTTAAAAGGGCTGGGTATGTAGCTCAGTGCAAAGGCCCTTGGTTCAATCTCCCGTACCAAAAAAAAAGGAGGGGATATATTTGTAAGAAAGCCATTTTATATTCTGATAGTTACAAAGAGGTTGGGAAAAAAGCTGCAAAACAGTTTTTCATACCATGACCCTTAGTCGATTAAAAGAAAATTATATATATGTTCATGCATAGGGAAGAAGTCTAACAGAAAAACTCCAGGCTGGAGGTCTTATTTAGTGTTTATATATTGTTTCTACTTTAGTTTTTAACAAAAAAGTCTCCCTGGGTGATCCGTTTATGAACTAGTGGCTAAGTAGAAGACCCCCTGGGGCACAAGTCACAAGCTGGCCTCCTACCTGATGTGGCAGTGTCTGAGTGGAAGATCCTGCACCTCTGACAAATCCAACCAAAAGGATTGGAAGAGGTGTTTGACAGCCACACTTCGATCAGGGCTCATCACAAGAAGGTTATGAGGGAAAGGCCTCACTCTGATACCTGTTTGAGATAGGTGTCTACCTTGGGCTTCCCGTCTTCCTGAAGGGAAAAACAGGACCCAAGCAGTGTGACTCAGAAGAGCCTGACTCACTTGGGCTTCAGCCTGTTAATTACTTCTTAAAGCATCTAAGACCCCACGCTCTCAGTGAAGTGGCTTATGGCTACCGATTATGAGCAATTGTCTCCTCTAAAGGCAGCAATTCCGACAGCAATTCACTCAGGGACAATTGTGTGGTTTGGAGGAAGGGCAGCAGTGAGTCAAGGAATTTAAATCTGTTCCTGGCACCAGAAATGCTTTGATACTGTCCTTTGTGCATCTTCATCTCTGTATCTAAAATTAGCACTAACATCCTTCCCAGGCATGACAGACATGAAGGTTAGAAGGGGAGCCACTGGCTCTTTGGGCCAACTCTTCCAGTTGCCTGGAACAGAAAGGCGGGAATGCATACTCTCGGATCTTTGTGACCTCATTTAAGTAAACCCCACAAAGCCTACTTTTTCCTGTTGGAGGAGGGGCAAATGTTGGAAAGAGGAAAGGTGGCCTGAACAGGGTGATGCGGGAGTTCCATGTCAACTCACTCATCTCCCACCCTCACCTTGTCCGCAGAACCTCGGGAAAAACTTGTAGTTTGGAGAGAATTAACACAAGCAGGATTCCATGGATGCAAAAGTCTTCCTGAGGGCCGGGGATTTAGCTCAGTGGTTCTGCCGCCTGCCTCACAAGCACAAGGACCCAAGTTCGATCCCCAGTACCAAAAAAAAAAAAAAACTAACTGTCACTGTTTGGGCCGGGGCTTTAGCTCAGTGGTTTCGCCGCCTGCTGTGCAAGTGCAAGGACCTGAGTTTGATCCCCGGTACCAAAAAAAAAAAGTCTTCCTGAGTATGCTAAATAAACCAAGTTAGATAACTGAACAAAGTTTCTAAAGATGCTTTTTCCCACGGTTTCTATCTTCCAAGTTGGGCGGAGGGCAGGAAAGACAGTTCTTGGAACTTGAATAAGGAACAGAAATTCCTAATTTAGCCTCAGAAGAGAAGTTTTTGAAAAATACTCTACCAAGAAAAACTAAGTGTAAAATGATACCTCAAAGAAATGTCGGTACCCATAGGATTATAAGCTTCCCAGATGTGCTTCAAAAACGTTTCTCAAAGCAGTCTTCTGCATAAGCTCTCAGGTTAGCTAAGGCTGCCCACCACACGGTTCCACTTTTAAGCTGTGTGGCTCTGAAATACTGCATACATAGAACCAGAACCTGGTGCAGCAGGATTGCCTGGCCTGGGTAGCACACAGTGGTAATGTTCATCAGCAGTGAGACAGGCGACTGTACATAGAGGTCCACGTGGTCCACCTGTCCATGCAAACACTCCTGAGATGTGCACCTTACTGACACGAACTGTTCTGTAGTGAGGTTTAGATGTTTTATATCTGGCCTACTTTTCTTTTAATTATCTGTGTATTTTTGTGGTGCTGGGTGATTAGAGGCAGGGGGAGTGCTCTACCCTGAGTTACATCCCCGTCTTTTACCAAACTGTCCAGGGTACTGTGCAATCCCTAAGCAATCACTGTTATTTATATTTTCCTTTTTATTTATTTTTTATTTTTTTGGTACCGAGGATTGAACTTGGGACCTTGCACTTGTGAGGCAGGTGCTGGAACCACTGAGCTAAATCCCTGGCTGCAGTCACTGTTATTAAAGTGCTGTAGCCCAACCAGAGGAGGGTGGCCTTTGAGCGGGGACTGCAAGACGCTTCTATAAAATACTGTGCCCAGAGAAGGAGCCTTTCAGCACTTTTTTCAGGTACATTACTTATAGTGAGAGGAGAAAGCTGAGTAGTGGTAAAGAAACAAACACTTGACAAGATCCCTCAAATTTGTAATTTATATATAAAATCCTGCGTTAAAAGAGGTAATGCAATGTTGAATAAAGATAAACTATTAAGAGGAGTAGCTGACTTCAAACCAGTGTTTGTTTGTTTTGGATCATCACTGGACATTCCTTGTTTTTTTTTCTTTTGAGACAGGATCTTGCTATGTAGTTCAGGCTGGGCTTGAATTCATGATGTATCCCAGGCTGGCCTCGAACTCTCTGTGATCATCTTGCCTCAGGCTCTGGGATAACAGGCGTGGGCCACCACACCCAGGTCTGGACATTCCTTGCTTTTGAAGTAATAGGGCAAGTTGTATGGCTCACACAGCAATCTGGTCAAATCTCTTCTTCAGCCTGGTGCTCTTGGCTTGCTCATGGAGTGGGTCCATGAATTCAGCAGGTAGGAGACTTGGATCCCCTGGCTTTGATCAGGCCACCTGAACTGCACCAGAGGTGTCTATGAGATTGAGTACTCTGGGTGAAAAGGACCCAAGGGTTAGAAAAATCATAAAGCCACAGGACAGCCTCTTTTTTTATTTCCCCCACAACTGAGGCAATACTGTAGAAGGGACTCAACTACACATTTACTGAATGATGAGGCAATAAGTAAATACAGAGGTGGAAGGAAGAAGGAAGGTTATTTTACTATAGGTTATTCAGAATTTTTGTTTCTGAGACTTCTTTTCCTCTCCTCTGGCTCCACCTTTTCACTGTCTCATTGCTGATGAACCAGGTCAGCTGAGAAAGGGCAGGAAATAGAGTGGGACAAGCCAGGTGTGGCACATGCCTATAATCCCAGCATTCTGGGAGGCTGAGGCAGGAGGGCCACAAATTGAAGCCCAGCCTAGGCGATTTAGTGACACTCTCTCTGGAAAATTAAGGTTAAAAAAAAAAGGCTGAGAATGAAGTTTAGTGTGAAGGCCCCGGTTCAATCATGGGAACCACAAGAAAAGAAAGGAAAGAAATACCTGGCAAACATGCCAGCCTGCACTCTGTGAGACTGCTTTAGTTATGGACTTTGATGGAATGGGGGGACTTCGGGTGGAAACACGCAGTGAGTGCTGGTTTCTTCCCATTTGGATGTGCCGGGCCGGGGGCAGCTGGAACTGTGCTGTTCTCTCTCTGCCTGGCTTTCTCAGTGGCACCCCAGCCCCATGTCTAGTACTTGGCCTCGAGCCCCAGCCTGCTCTGGCTTGGTTTTTCAACCACCTGTGCTGCTCAGGACCCAGGTCTTCCTTTGCCCCACAGAACATGTGCTGGAAACTCACTGCTCACCGAGCTTCGGACTGCAGTTATGGTCCCAGCCCTGGAGCCGCTCACATTTCAGCCTCCATACTAGTGCCTGTCTTAATTCTCATAATAGAACTGTTTGCTCCTCTCATCTCCATACAGTTGGCTGTGACTTAGCAGTCCCTGAACCTGAGGGAAGTTACCGTATTCTATCCTACAGCCTCTTAAAGGTGGAAGCAGCGTTGTATGTGGACCTTTATTTCTCAATGAATTTTGATGTTACTGAAAAAGGAACTCTCAGGAATGGCTACATTTCACGTCACATCTCTCAAGTTTTACTCTGAAGTTACTAGTGCCTCTACTAGCCAGGATCTAATAAAGGTGAACCACTAAATTTACAAACTAATGAATTCCTAATAAATTAAAAATACATTATATGGGGACCAGCGATTTAGCTCAGTGGTTCCGCCGCCTGCCTCGAAAGCGCAAGGTCCTGAGTTTGATCCCTGGTACCGAAAAAAAAAAGTGATGAGAACTAGAAATAGTGAGTACAGGGCTGGAGGTGTAGCTCATGGTAAAGCACACACTTAGCATTCATGGAATTCTGGGTTCAACCCCCCGCACCCCCCCCACACACACAAAAGAAAAGGAAAAAATAGTGTATACAAAGCCACGAATAGATAGAAATTCCCAATACATGCCAGTTATTTATTTTTGTTACTGAAGTCAGAAACCTGAGTACCACTCTTCGCTTTATCACTTACTTGCTATATGATCTCAAATCACTTAATATTCTGCCTTAGTTTCCCCTTTATAAAGTGGGAAGAAGAATACTTTTTCTTATGTGCTGTCAAGAAATTGAAATGTTGGGGATATAGGTCAGTGCTAGACTGCCTACCTAGTATGTGTGAGACCCTAGGTTCCATCCAGTACTGAAAAAGAAAAAAAATTCAAATAAGGTATATGATAAGCTACTTTATAAAGTTTTCAAATAAGGTATATGATAAGCTACTTTTTAAAGTTTCTTGGCATGGTGGCGAACATTTGTAATCCCAGCACTGTGGCAGCACTGAGGCAGCAAGTTGGCAAGTCTGAGCCCCATCTGGGCAACTTATCGAAACCCTGTCTCAAAAATACCACCCCACCCACCCAGTACCAGGGATTGAATTCAGGACTTTGTGCTTCCCAGGCAGGCGGGGCACCACTGAGCCACATCCCTGGCCCTCAAAATACTTTTTTAAAATAGGGGCATGTGGGCTGAGGATGTGGCTCAGCAGCACAGCTCCTGCCTGGCAAGTGCAAGGCCTTGAGTTTGATTCCTGGTAAAAAAAAAGGGGAGGGCATTTAGCTCAGTGTAAAGGCTCTGGTTCTATCCCCCATACTGGGGGGGAAAAACAGAGAGAGAGAGAGAGAGAGAGAGAGGAGCTTAAAGTACCATATACCATGTTGGTGTCAATAATTACTATTATGTATTATAACATTAAATGTAAGTTGAAATGTATCTTTGTTCTTATAACACTTGTGAAAATAAAACAAAAGAAAGTTCTAACAGGCAATAAAGTAATCTATCAGATATTTTTGGCTAATAGGTTGGTTTATGCTGATGCATGCTACTGAATTTATAAATTATTAAAATGGGGTAATTATAATACATTGCTTGAGTCAGGCTAACAGGAACACTGGTTACATAATTTGCGAACTTTTTCTAATCCTCTGCTGCTCTCAGAAAAACGAAGTAGTTTGGGATTACAAATAGCAAAACCTTTTTAAAATTCCACCCCATCATTCTAATAAGAGGTATGGTAACACTTTTTGAAACCCCACAAATTGGTCTGTTCTGAAAAGATTTTTCAATTCCTGGGACAGGTTTCTCCCATGTGGCTCCTGAGAGTGAGGGTGAGGCCTAAGGCCATGGCTTCTGACAGCCTTGCAGAGCCCCTGAAAACACCCTCCTTTCTAGGGTCACAGCTCCTAGTGTATGAAAACTCTATCATAGAAGGATGAAGCCATGTTCAGGGTTCCAATTACATAACTCTACAAAGATCCCTGAGAAGGGGTGAAAGCTTCCCTACACCTTCCTGAGGCCCGTGCTCAAGAAGGTGATGGTTTCAGGCCAGGGAGTTAGCTCAGTGGTGCTGTGCCAGCCTTGCAAGCTCAAGATCCTGAGTTTGATTCCCAGTACTGCAAAAAAAAAAAAAGAAGGTGATGCTTCCATTACTAAGACTCAGTCCAGGGCTGAGCATACATTTGTTTTCTGTATTTAAAAATGAGGGGAAAAAATAAAAAATAAAACAAGGGAAACTTTTTTTTTTGGTACCAGGGATCGAACTCGGGAGCTTGCACTTGTGAGGCAGGCGGCAGAACCGCTGAGCTATATCCTTGGCACGAGGGAAACTATTTTATTATCTAAAGGCCAATTTGAACAGGCTGGTCAAGAAATACTGAAGTGAAAATGCTCATCGAAACATTTCACTAAGTGTATAGTATATATTGTTGGTGTTGTAATAAATGCTGTTCCCCTCCTCTATACTTAGTCAATTGGGTCCTATTAACCACAAATCAAGTTATCTGAAAAGGTAAGATACAGATTAAGAATGGCATAGCAAGCATTTGTAGAAAGGTCAGTCTTGGCTCCAGGTCAAATTATAAGGCTACTATATAGGCATACTGTAATAAAATCAAGATACAATTTGAAAGGGACCAAAAGAATCCCTGTTTAAAAAAAAAAAAATTGAACATCATGTCTTGTTAGGTTGAAAGAATAAATGCTGCTATTTTGATATGACGATTCCTTTCACATAAACACTTTAGAAAGTAAAAAATAAAATCGTTTATTTTTTTAAAGCTCATTGTTATGTTTACTGGTTTAGGATATTCAGGATATGAACATGAGTCTCTAAGTTTTTGAAAAGCAATAAAAGAAACTAGCAAAAAAAACCAAAACAGGAAACTGGACATTTTCTCTATCTTATCTTTGCCTGTGTTTCCCTTTATCAATAAAGGGAAAGGAGAGCCTAATGGAGAAACATCGAGGGCTGTTGAGGAAAGCAGAGTAGCTCTTGGGGTTCAGCACCAACTCAATTATATAATCACAAATTCAGAGGCTGGAAAAAAGGGCCACAACCAAACCACAACCTTCAAACATAAACCAACCTGGCCAGGGATTTAGCTCAGTGGTTCCGCCGCCTGCCTCACAAGCGCAAGGTCCTGAGTTCGATCGCGGTACCAAAAAAAAAAAAAAAAAATAAGCCAACCCATCAATCAGACAATTAATCATTAAATGTTATCACTAAATAAATTACAAAAGGCAGACATTATATGGCAATGTCCTGTACCCATGGCTGCAAATGAATGAACTGTCTTCAGGCTTGAATCCCATCTGGCTGCTCAGGTAGAGGGGCCATCTACTCAGAAAGACTGCCGTAAAGGACTTTGCTCCAGACAGAGCCAACTCAGCCAACGTGATGTGGCTACTGCTGCTTGTGCTCTTTGCTCAGGGGCGATAGTTAGCATCCTGTAATCCCTTTGGTTCCTTATAGATCAGTGTCTGTTCTCACGGCCGCTCACAAGGAGGCATGGATTGCTGCAGGCTCTGCTTCATATCACAGCTTTCTGCTTTTCCAAAGAGATGCCAAGCCTGGGCCATTTTGCGAAGTTTAGCAAGGTTAGGTTTAGTCTAAAGGAAGAAAGAGAGTAACTCCAATTAGCAATATGAAAAGCCAGGGGCCAGGGATTTAGCTCACTGGTTCCGCCACCTGCCTCTCAAGCACAAGGTCCCAAGTTCCATCCCTGGTACCAAAAAACAAATAAACAAAATACCTGGGGACTTAGCTCAGTGGTTATGGCACCTGCCTCACAAGCGCAAGTATTCTAAGCATAGCTGTTCAAATCTGTTTAGACTTCTTATTTCTGGACTCAGAAGAGATCCCAGAGTTCCTCAGGCTTAGTGGGAATGTAAACTTTAAATCCAGAATCTCATCTCTTCACCAGTGGAGACAGAACTTTTATATTTTTGCCAGGTCAGAGTTTTTAACAGCGTAAAGTTAACTAGACGAGTCAGGAAACATTAGCACCTGAAAACTCCATGTAAGAAAAGCCATTATAGCCTTTAGCAGGAAAGAGAAAAGATTTTGGATGTCAGCAATGTGGACACTACTATTATGTGTTCATGGGTCTGTTCCTTTTTTTTCTTTTTACTTTTTTTTTTCATGTTCTGTTTCATTTAAGATTGTAACAAGGATAGAAAATGTTCTTAATTTAAACCACTCTGTGCCTTTATTGCATTATTCATATTATGGTTCGTGAGTTGCTGAGGAATCAGGGCCACAGCAGAATGTGAGCTCTTCCCCTAAGCTTGGTTTCCTGCCTGATGATCTTCAAACCACAGCTCAAGAGATCCTTCCAGATAACTAGATACACTCATAACTAGATACGCTCACCAGGACAGCGTTTCTAGCACATACTCCCAAGAAACTGGATGTTTAGGCTGTATTTCATCAACACTGAATTTGCTGTGCTTCTAGCAGCTTTCTCTCCCTCCAGGAAGAATTTCTGTATCTTGTTTTGTTTTGTTTTTGGTACCGGGGATCGAACTCGGGTCCTTGCGCTGGCGCAGCAGGCAGTGAAACTACTGAGCTAAATCCCTGGCCAAGAATTTCTGTATCTTAACAAACTTAGAGCCAGCAGGCAACAGTTATATAGCATACATCAGTCTGTACCTATGTTAAGGTTAAAAATACAAAGTCGTCGTGTGGATAATCTGACACTTTAGTCTAAACTCCATTTTGAATATGAGCTGGAAGACCAAAATCAGTAGGCTTTAAATGAAATCTCCAGTGCATGTTTTCCAAAACTCATATTTTGGGGAAGATTAAGACAGATTACATCAGGATAGCAGAAGATAAACTATGTTTCTTCCTGCTCCTGTCAGTCACCAGTGTACCTGTTTCTCCTGCTCCAAGTGGTCTAGGTCGGCTAACGGCAGCATAGAGGGTCTCCCATGAGCACACTGGAAAGGCAGCTGGCACCAGGACAGAGCTTCAATAAGGCGATAGCTCTCCTCAGGGCTCAGGTGATCATTAAACTTAATAGCCCCTATACACAAGAGAGAAACCAGAAGGCTATGGTGCACATGGTGAGAAACCAGTGCTGATCCAGGGTGAGGGCCAAATATCTGAGAGAAGTAACATATTTCTTAGGCTTCTTTAATCTGGCTGTAATACTGCTTCAAACTGGTACTTATGGCCAAGAATAAAAGTAAGACTTTAGGACCAATCTTCTGTCTCTTGGCTTTATGGATCATTTGTCTTTCTGGTCACTGTAAAAGGTGTTCGTTCCTTCCTTGTTAGAATCTTGCTTTCAAGGTTTTCCTCAGAAGGCAAGAGCAGTGTACGCATTTACTTACTTATTGGTCTGTGAAGTTGAAGTTACCGCCTGTATATGGATTGTCCCATAGCAGTCTCTGATTTTTTCCCTTATAGTGCCCATTTTATTTCTCTTTTTTCTAATTTCCATAATAATCTTCCTAATTTAAACTCTCATATTGTTAGAATTTGCTTTTATTCCTACATTAATTCACTCAGTCAACAAATATTTCTTAAGCATAAACTTTGTATTAGGAGCTCTGCCAGGCAGTGAATGAAACAGATGCTTTACCCTTATAAAGCTTATGGTCTAATAGTTGAGACAGACATTAAATAATTATATATCATGAAGACCTTTGTAGGCCATGGTAAAGCACAACATTTTTATACTAAGAGCAATAGCTCATTGCCATATTTTAGTTGAAAGAATGACGTGCTCAGAGGGATGTCCCAAGGAGATTCCTGTGGATGCTAATGGCTTTGATCAGGAGCCAGAATGGGTGTGAGGAACAAAGTAAGAGGATTCAGTATCCCGAGGACAAGGAAGTAACACTAGAGGCAGATGGAACAGAGATTTAGAATACAGTTTGAGGATAGCAAAGATGAAATTTGGTGATGCAGTAGCTATGTGGAGTAAAGATAGGATAAACGGGCAAAAGACGTGAGGGTATCTGCAGGAGACAGACTAAGGATGGACCATGGTTACCAAGCTGGCAAAGATAGGTGAAGAGAGATTACTGGAGATGGATGAAATGGGGGGCTGTTAGTGGACTGGAGACCCACTGTCCTTAATGATAGTTGCAGGGGATTCCATAGCTGTCATGATTCCAAAAGTAAGTTCCTCCTATACCATTTTCTATAATTTATCATATTCTCCTTCTAAGAACACCCAATGACTATAATGCCTTCTGTATCAGATGTAAAGGTCTTGCTGTAACTTTCTGGGCTTTTGTTCTTTCTTGCCAGCCTAATTTCTGGGTACTCTTTGCTGCTCCTCATGTTAGGGATTTATTTCTGCCTCTGTGTCTGCACAGGCAGCTTCCTCTCCCCATGGTGAACTCCCCGTTCGGTGCCTGAACACATCACCCTCGGCCCATTCTGAACTTGGCTACAAGGACATCTCTTCTAGGCATCTCTCTTCTGCTCACGTACATCAGTCTGCACTGCAATGAGTATAGGCGCTGTGCTTTGTGAAAGTAATTCTTTGGGCTTCAGTTTTATGAGTATTCAGTTTCTTGATCTAAATCATACTTTTCAAGGGGCAAGCAGAAATGTGCCTTTTCCCTCTTTCATAATCACTATAGCACTGCCAGCATTCAGTACATGGAGGACTCAACAGCTGGCCATGGAGTCTCTTACCATGGCAAGCTTGGGAGGCCAGCACCTTCTGGACTGTCAGCGGCAATGTCCCTTGGATGCCTCCTGTGGTCTGGAGCAGCTACATTAACAAGAGAAGAGAACAGGACAATATATACAAGTCTTCTGTGTATAGTACCTCTGTGTGAACCCCAAGATAAGAGAAAAGCTTACCTCCACTTGTTCCCGAATAAATTCCTACAAGGCAAAAAAGGAAAATAGGAGGCATTAGTCTACTGTTATGTTTTATTGGCTTTTGATAGTTTACAAAATATCCTAATTTTCTTCTCTAAGATACACCTCCTAAAGGAGTGAGCCCTAGCAGTACAACACTTAGATACAAATTTATTTGTTTAAGCCTGTTTATATTCTCTTAACCAGAACAAGTTTAATATTACAGACAAACTGAGAATAAATTTACAAAAATCATCAACACAACTGTGCACATAGTCACTTAAATATTATAAACATTAAGTGAATAGTCATTTCCCATAGGCTTTTTGGGACAACTCCCTTTAGGTCAAAAAGCTTATTTTATGAAGCATTTTGTTGAGAAGTTTCTTCTCCCTTGTATATCTCTGTCCCTGATTTGACCTTTTCAATAGTTATATCCTAGTAGATACTATTATTGACAAAAGAACTTTAAAGCCAATGCTATTTAGTGCTACCAATATTTAACCTCTGGATGTACAAAGCAAAGTTTGAAATATGCCACATTTAACTACCTCTTTATAAATCACAAGGTGATTTTCACCCCCCTTCTTTTCCTTTCTTTCTCTCTTCCCTCCTTCCTTCCCATCCCCTTTCTCCTGTCCCTCTCCTCCCGCCCTCCCTCCCTCCTTCCTTCCTTTGCTGCAGTACTTGGTACTAAACTAGAGCCTTCACTTAAAATAATTTTTTTATTTTGAGACAGGGTCTTGCTAAGTCATTAAGATGCCCAGGCTGGGTTGGAACGTGCAGTCTTCCTGACTCAGCCTCCCAGAAGGCTGGGATTATAGGCAGGTGCCACAATGCCCAGCTGGGGTGATTTTCTTTTTAAAGTCAGACTTGGAAAATTCTTCTTTCTATATACTCTAGTCTGTATGCCTGCAAATGAGCATAGTTATTAAGAGCTAGGTGGTAGATACTATCTTATATCTATTTCAGAAGCCACATATTTTTCCAAACCAACATAAATAGAAAGATGTCTCATAATACCTGACCCACTAACAAAACTTAGTGTGGACAGAAATCAAAGCTAACGTCTTTGCTATTGTGGGACTGTAAAACATCAGTTTGTAAGCCTGGTGAGGGGAAGAAAGGTCTCATTCTCAGTCCATTTTTTATTTCAGGAGTTCAATTAATGCTATGTAATTTAAATAATGTTAAAAAGGCCCATTCATCAGGCTGCAGTATAGAACATTAAAGAAGTATGTACTACTCTCTGTACTGCATTAAAGTACCTCTTCGAAATACCAAACTGTTCCAGCTTCTTCCAGAATCAACAAAATCTCTCCTGATCAGCCCGACTTAACGTGATCAAGATTTTCTGAAACTGAAAGCTTTGTTTCAATTCGAGGTAAACTCCTTAATGGTAGTCTTTGAAGTAACTTCAGGAACAGTTTTTATTTTAATTTTCTGGTTAAATTTTTAGGGATTAAATTGCAATAAAAGATTCAGAAAGATCCTATCTTTTGGGTTTAAGACAACTTGGAGCACAAGTCTTAGAAGAAATAAGCTCAGTGGGGAGTAAGGAGCTCTGCTGAAGCCGAGGCAAAGGTTGCCAGATTAAAAGGCAAGTTTGGAAAGGGTAAAATCAAGGTAATCTAAAAGCTGGCACTGTTAACTTCTTGCTCTTCAATTTCTTCTCATTCTTTGCCTACATATATGCTCAAATCTTTTCCAACTTAAACAAAAATCCTTCCTCAGCCTCTGTCATGCCCCACACTTCTGGACCATGCTTAATCCTTCTGTTGGAAAGAGCAGCCGGCTTGGCCTCAGCCCTCTCCTTTTGCTCACTCCTGACCCACTGCACCCTTCTGCTGACTTCGTGCCCAGGAAATGATCCCACAAGACAACCTTTGTCCTCATAGGAGCCAAACCCAACTTCTCGGGCTTGCTTTATTGCCACTGTTGACTGTTTGCTTCTTGCTTACAACTGCCCTTGGTTTTGGCAATATTGCCTTTCCCTAGATTTCTTCCTTTCTCGCATATTTTCCATCATCCTTACAGTTTCCCCTTTTCAGCAGTCACTTTCCAGACTTTTGCCAAAACATATACACTCTGAATGCTGGGGTCATGCAGACTGCACATTTTGCTCTCTCCCTTTTTCTTTTCTTGGTACCAGAGATCGAACTCAGGACCTTGAGCTTGCAACGCAGGCGGTGGAACCACTGAGCTAAATCCCCAGCCCTCCCTTTTTTACTCTTTATATTCTTCCGGAATAAGCTTACTCCCTCTAGCCTTCTCCAGTTTCTGCTATTATTAAAATGTAAATGTTGGGCCAGGGATTTAGCTCAGTGGTTCCGGTGCCTGCCTCGCAAGCGCAAGGTCCCGAGTTCGATCCCCGGTCCAAAAAAAAGTAAATGCTGTTAACTCTTGAATTGATGACATGCAGCCCAGATTTCTCTTCCAGGTGCTAGATCTGTAGATCTGTCTGTCTGTTAGACATCACCATCTGAAGGGACACTGTATCTACAATGAAATTTTCATTTACCTCCTTGCCAGGTGTGCTTCTCCTCTATCATCCTTCTCTACAAATGGCACTGTCCTTCTTTCATCTAGTTAAAACCCTCAAAACCACTGTTATAAACCTTTTCTCCTTTATTCTTTTCATATTATTTTGCTCACCAGGTCTTCTTGATTCTACTTCCCAAATCAGTTCTCGATATTATCCTCCTCTGCATTCCCACCACTAGTGACCCTATAAAAATCCTCATCTTTTCATATCTGAACCAATGCAAAAGGCTTTGTAGTGCTCACCTTGCCTCAAATCTTTCCCAGATCAACCTATCCCCTGACTTATCTACTACGTCTATCTTCTGATTTTTTTATTTGGATATTACTAAAGTAATTCAGATTTCTAGACAAATGGTAGACTGAGTTGATGTGCATTTGCTTGTGCTCCAAATAGGGGTAGAGAGAAAGATGGAATAGAAACCATAAGAAAACAGAACTGACAGATAAAACTTCTGGAAATGAAAAACATACCCATCAAAATAAAAACTCAGTGTGTAAGTTAAAGTTATCATTAAAAAGCAGATGAGAGGGCTGGAGATGTAGCACAGTGGCGCTGTGCCTGCCTGGCAAGCACAAGGTCCTGAGTTCAATCCCTGATACCAAAAAAAAAAAGAAAAGCAGATGAGAGAGGAAGGAGGCATAAAAAGAATTAAGATGTGTCATGTACATATACCAACTCCCTGTGATGAATGTAATCACCATGTACTGCAAACATGTACTAAAAAAAATAAAAATTAAAAAAATAAAAAGCAGATGAAGAAAGACTCTAGTTTACTGGAAAAGAAATGAAGGAAATTTCCCATAATGTACCCTAGAGAGCATAAGAATCACAGAGAATAGAAAAATAAGGTACAATAGACATCTTATGGGATGGACTTCCAGGGGAAGAAAGAATGGGGAAGAAGGAAGGTTTGAAATGATGATGGCTGTACCCTTTACAACTGAGGACACACGATGAACCCCATGAAGCAAATGAAAATGAATCTAGAAAACTTTAGAACACCAAAGACAAAAAAACAATCTTAAAAGCAGCCAGAAAGAAAATCAGATTAGAGTAGTGATAGACTGGGAATGGACTTCAGTGGCAGAAACAGAAAGTCAAAAGTAATGGGATTATTTTAAAAATGCTGAGGGATAACTGGCAGTGTGGAATTCTGCTTTTAACTAGATAGTCATTAAAATGTGAAGGCAAAATAAACTATTTCCAAAGACAATTTACCATTCATGGACTCTTCATAAAAGAATTTTAAGAGATTTACTCCCGTAAAAAAAAAACTGAGGTCAGAAAGAATAAGTATGATGCAAGAGGCAACAGTGAACAGACTCTGGTAAACATTTTGATCAAATAACTGTTGGCTCTGAAATTAATGACCATTGAGTGACTAAAAACAAGGTGGAGTTAAATACTGAACAACATGGAAGACTAACGGGAAATGATGGGAAATAAAGAGCTCATAGGTTTTTAAACAGCTTAGGAATAGGATAGAGAATCAATCTGTCTCTAAACTTTGCTAAGTATGCATGTTAAAATTCAAGCCTAGTACTTTAAATGACACAAATGGAGTATATAATTTCTAAATCAGTAGAGGAGGGCTGGGGATTTAGCTCAGTGGTTTCGATGCCTGCTGCACAAGCGCAAGGACCTGAGTTCGATCCCCGGTACTAAAAATAAAAATAAAAATAAATTAGTAGAGGAAAAAAAGAAATAAAGTGTAATGGAAAACAAGAATGAGGGAAGGCGGGCCGGGGATTTAGCTCAGTGGTTTTGCTGCCTGCTGCACAAGCGCAAGGACCCGAGTTCAATCCCTGGTACCAAAAAAAAAAAAGAATGGGGCGGGAAACAAAAACAAAATAAATTATATTTTAAAAACTGAAATAGCCATGTGCGGTTACACACACCTATGATCCCAGCAATTGGGAGGCTGAGGCAGGACAATTGCCACTAGTTCGAGGCCAGCCTGGGCTACACAGTGAGTTCAAAGCCAGCTTGAACAACATAGCAAGACCCTGTCTCAAAGGAAGAAAAAATTTAATAATGGTCCTAACACCTCTGATGCTACATCCCAGTAGCAGCTTTCCAAAGCATTGAGTAATACACTGAAAATTCTCTTTTTATTTTTTCCAGTATTGGGGTTTGAACCCAGGCCTTCATTCATGCTAGGCAAATGGTCTATTACTAAGCTTCACCCCTAGCCCTTTTTTAAAAAAAGATTTTAAAATATTTGTTTATTTATTTAGTTTTGAGTCAGGGTCTTGCTTATGAAGTTCAGGCTGGCCTTGAACTCTTGATGATCCTCCTGCTTCAGCCTGCCAAGTATGTGCCACTGCACCTGGGTAAATTTTTATTTTATTTATTTATTTCTGTGGTACTGGGAATTAAACCCAGGTTCTTTGCACTGAGCTAGATCCTGAATCCTTTTTAATTCTTTTGAGACAGGGTCTTGCTAAGTTGCTTAGTTGCTCAGGCTAGGCTCAAACTTCCAATCCTCCTGCCTTAGCCTCCCAAAAGTGCTAGGATCACACTTGGCACCAACATGTATCTTTTTTTTTTTTGTGGTACTGGGGATTGAATTCAGGACCTTGTGCTTGCAAGGCAGGTTCAGTGTCATTGAGCTAAATTCCTGGCCTCCAACATGTATCTTAATTGGAGCTGTATCTATTGATAGTTCCTCATAAATAGGACCTGCTTCAAGTCTCTGGTATGGGCTCCACTGAAGAAAGACTTTCTCTATTTTTCTATATTTGGCAGATCCTTACCTTTCTGTTATGGCTTGTGTCTAGATGTGCCCCCAAAGGCTCATGTGCTCATAGGTGGCCTTTTGGGAGGCTGGATTACTGTACTGTATTATCTAAATGTCCTTCCTCCTCACCTAGAGCTAATTCATCTTTAAATTTCTAGCAGCTCACACACTGTGGGTAAATAACACAAATGCACATTGAATAAAGATGAATGAAAATCTCTAGACAAAATGTGAGGTTATTATTACTCAGCAATCTCATGGACATAAGAAACTATGTCTCACCTCCACAATACTCTTGGTTACAGTAGATCTTCCTCTTCGAAGTTCATTGGCTTCTCTTTCTACAAAACAGAGTGGTACTTTCCCCACAAGGACCAGAGAATCACTAGTGTCCGGAAAGGTAAATTCAAGGCCCAGATCTTCCAGATTTTTGTGGTAACACCTGAGGAGATAAGCTCAAATGTAAAACTATTACTTCACCCATATTTCACTACTAGTTCCAAATACTTAATAGATTCTCAAAAGCTAACACAAACTTTAAAAGTTGTATTTTTTTTTCACCTATATGTATGTGTTTGAGATTTTATTATCTGTCTTTTTTGGATTACAGTAGTTCCCCTTGTACATGACTTCACTATCCAAGATTTCAGTTACTGTAGTCAACCATGATCCAAAGATATTCAATTCCAGAAATAAATAATTCATTAACAAAAGTTTTTTAGGTGCTGGGGACTGAACCCAGGGGCCTGTGTATGCTAAGCACTCCCTCTGTCCCAGAGGTACACCCCAGCCACAAATTTTAAGCTGTGTGCCATTCTCAGTAGCATGATAAAATCTCGTGCTGTCCTGCTAAATTATCCTTTTGTGCAATGTCTCTGGCTGCCCTCACCATATACCTGTTAGTCACTTAGCCATCAGATTCAATTTTTCAGTATAATAGTGTAAGTGTTCATGTAACCTTTATTTTACCTAATAACAGTTCCAAAGCACAAAAGAGGCATGAGAGCATAAAACAAAAGGACTGATTGACACTACATGGGAATGCTGAGAGCATACAGAAAAAACAAAGTATATATAAGGCTCAGTATATCTCAGTTTTCAGGTATCCACTGAGTATCCTGGAACACACTCTCCACGGAGAAGCAGAGAAAGGTACACTACTATATATCAACCTTCTTTTTTTTCTTCTTCAATTTTCCCCTAAGAGAATCAATTTCTTTCTAAATCTTGTGCCTAAATTTTATTTTCACTGAGGAACTGCTAACCTCTTGCTGCTGGTACTTGAAGGAGTTTGGCACAAAGAAAAATTCTGAGAAACATTTTCAATCAGTATTAAAGCAGGGAGGTAAGTAACAGGCCCAGGAACTGAAAAGTCCTGATTAACAGGGATGTAAATAAATGAACCTGCCTCTCATATAAATTACACCCCAGACCTTATGATGAGTGTTATCATTATATATGCCTAAAATGTACCAATAAATGTTTTGCTATTAAAAAAAGATTATGCCCCAGAGAAAAAGATGTGTTGGCAGTGTATTCCCAAACCTAAAATTAAACTGATAGACTATTCTTTTTTATTTTCAATAATTTGCACTGTCCAGAATTGGGAAAATGTCCTATCTTGTAACTCACTATATGATTTCTCCCTTCCTTCTATTCTAATATTTTATGTTCTTCCTAATAAAATTATGGTAATGAAGACTCTAGAATGAAACAGGACAAAGCAGAATGGAAGCAATTACTGCACTAACTTTGCCTTCAGAAACAGCACAGCATAAACATTTGACTGTTCCAAGAAATGGGAATAGTGTTCTAAGCCAACTGCTGGAAAAAATTATCAGGGAAACCCTATCCTACATTCAACAGCTGCGATATGGTGGAAAGAACAGCATTTGAAGTTAGAGACCTGCCTTTGAGCGCCTGCTCCACCACTTAAAAACTGTTATGACCTTGAACAAGCCGTGTAACCTTCCTAGTCTCAGTTTCCTCTTCGTCTAAACAATGGAAAAACAGTTTTGCTTATACTTCACAGAATCATTGTGAGAATTTATACTATAACATATACTAACCATAAGAGTCTCCTTTGTTCCTCAGTCACTGTTATATCTAGAGGAGGAATTATAGTGGAGGACAGTAATTTTTTCCGACCACAGCCTTGGGGTTGTTGCTTCTCGCATGAGTCTATTGGAAGAAAGATGAATAGGTTAAGAGTAGGAAGAAAAATCTTCTATATTCAAATAAAAATTAAGCACTGGAAAGCATGGCCATGATGCATTTATTCTAGTGCTTAATAATGTGTTCAATTTTCAGTTCTAGACTTTGGATTTCCATTATTAAAGTGAATCTAGGACATGTCTAGCCAGTTTATTCATTTTAGCAGAATTTTAAAGTAAGAAATACAAGACTTAACTCTCACTTAATTCATTGTTCAAATGAACAATGCAGTGTTCCTGTAGGTAATACCTGTGATTTTAATAACAGAGGTGCATAATTTGGATTACTGGGGAAATGTATGTATCAGTTTACCATATGATCCTATGGCTCGAGAATGCTTTTCCTTCAGAAGGGTCTTCCCATCTCTGAAGACAATTCACTGTACTATTCTCAAATGGTGCAGGACCTGTAGCAAGCAAGCTTTTCTCACACTGTTTTTGTTATATCTTTCCCAACTTTTAGGCCTTCATTTTATAAAGAAAAATGAAAGTGGTACCAGTATCATTGCCATTCTAGCCCATGAAATATCTCACTAGGTCATCGACTCTTTTGACATTAAGGTCTTTCATTACTTTTGTTTGTTCATTTGTTTTTCATTAAGTTTACTGGTACATTTTAGGTATACAATATGATAACAGTCATCATTGGGAATTTGTACCTTCATATAATCTTATGTTGGTTCTTATTTTTTCCCCATTCCCCTTCCCTCCCTTCAACCCCTTCACCCCTCCCTATTTACAAAGACTTTGTTTCCATTTTTTCATATTTATTCCTTTCCCTTTCCTTTTCCCTATTCCTCCCACTTTCTATTCCCCTTTAGACCTTTTCCTCCTGTTTCACATTATCTATTATACATTTTGATCCTTATTTACACTTTCAATTTCTCACACCAGAGAAACTATTTGGTATTTACACGTGTGTCCTATTTATTTCACTTAAGAGTATGGCCTCAATGTGCATCCATTTAACTATAAATGACTCTAGTTTCTCATTCTTTATGGCTGAGTAGCACTCCATTTTATAAAAAAAACAAAAACAAAAAAACCCACATCTTCTTTATCCAGTCTCCAGCTGATGGACAATTGGGGTGTTTCCAAGTTTTAGCTATTACAAACTGTGCCGCAATAAACATGGGTGAGCATATATCACTGTGGTATGATTCTTTTAATTCTTTTGGGAAGATACCCAGCAGAGGAATAGCTGGGTCAAATGGGACCTCTAAGCTTAGTTCTTTGAGGTATCTCCATACTGATTTGCACAGTGGTTGCACCAGTCTGCACTCCCACCAACAATGGAGAAGGGTTCCTTTCTCCCCACAAACCCGCCAACATTTGTTATTGGTTGATTTCTTGATGGCAGCCATTCTTTCCGGACTGAGGTGGAATCTCAGTGTTGTTTTCATTTGCATCTCTCAAATGACCGTGATACTGAACATTTTTTCATGTTTATTTGCTGCTTTTCTTTGTCTGAGAAATGTCTGTTCATTTCAGATGCCCATTTTTGAACTGGGTCTTTAAATTTGGGGGGGGGTCTGTTTTTTTTAAGTTCTTTATATATGCTAGATAGTAGTTGTTTGTCTGAGGAACAGCTGGTAAACATTTTTTCCCATATTGTAGGTTGTCTCTTAGCTCTGCTCGTGGTTTCTCTTGCAGTACAGAAGCTTTTTAACAGAATGACATCCCAGTGGTTGATTCCCAGTGCTAGTTCCTGTGCTACTGAGGTTTTGTTCATAAAGTCTTTTCCTAAGCCAATGTCTTCAAGAGTTTTACCTAACCTATCTTCCAGCAAGTTTAGTGTTTCTGTTTTAATATTTAGATCTTTGATCCACCTCGATTTTAGTTTAGTGCATGGTGAAAGATATGGGTCTAGTTTTAATCTGTGGCAGGTTGCAATCCAGTTTTTCCAGGACCATTTATTAAATAGGCTATCTTTCCTCCAGTGAGGGTGGTTGGCTCCTTTGTTAAAGATGAGATGGCTGAGTATGTCTGCAGTTGTGTCTGCACTGAAGGGTACTCATTATTGCCAAAGGGAAAAGCATAAGCAAAATCTCATGGTACACAACATACAGAAACAATAAATGTTTGAGGGGAAATGCCAATCACCATGATTTGACCCCTGTATCCATATATTTATCATATGGTACCCTATAAATACGTCCAAGTATGTATCAATTAACACTTTAAAATATAAATAGGATTTTAAAAGCCTAGGGTAGGGCTGGGGATTTAGCTCAGTGGTTTTGCCGCCTGCTGTGCAAGCGCAAGGGCCTGAGTTCAATCCCCGGTACCAAAAAAAAAAAAAAAAGCCCAGGGTATACAGAATGAATGGCCTGGGGGAGTCACAAGTAAACTGGACTTGAAGAAAGGCCTAGGAAAAGCTCTTGTGCAAGTGGAAGACGACTTCCTCCACAAAGCGCTGAATGTTGCTGTGCTCCGGGCCGCACACGAACACCATCCAGTTGTGTGTGAAGCCCTCCACGGTGGGTTTCTTCTGCACCTGGGTGTGGTGCCCCCTCTCCAGCTTCACCTGCATGGTGCAGGAACTAGCCATGCCCAGCCGAGGTCCCGCCTGCCCCCGGGCTTGGCGCTCAAGCATGCTCCCCAGAGCTCAGAGCTGACTGCGCACATGCTCTGCCAGCCCGTGCTTGCCCACTCGCCCACTGCACTCAGCCCCACAGCACATGTCTTTCATTTCTTGACCATAGGAGTGAAGATTTTCCTGGTATTTTAGCACTTGGTGAACACATTGCCTCAAGATGACAAAGATAAATAGCAAAAGCTAAGAAGCATATATGGACTTTGGGAAGATAGACACATTATTAGAATTGGTTACCTGTGGGGAGAGAAACTACGTGGGACTTTGGACAAGGGTATAAAGGAGGATTTATTATATTTCCTTTTGTACCTTCTAGAACTGGATCTATTTGCTCATACTGCCTCTTCTAAGGTAAACTAGGTTTTGACATAAAAACAATCTACTTGGCTTTCTAAGCTGACAAACTGGAGAAGGCATACCAAGATCATGTGGGCATATAGAGAAGCATCTTTGTGCTGAGTGTCATAAGTTAGCCTGATTTAATAAATGTGCAGCAAACATGCCTTTGACCATGTACATAAAACCTACTTGTTTGAATTAGTAAATGAGTAACTACAATCATTCAGTTAGAATACAAGCCAAACTGGAGGAGTTTAGCTTAAATTTTTAAATATACAATGCATCTTTTCTCATAACAGTTACAGTGAGGAATACTACTTCTGCTGGAAGTCTCAAATCTTTTCCAGTCACAGATAGGTCCTTACCAGTAATCAACTGCTCCAAACGAATGCGCTCATGGGCAGCATGTTGATCCACCAAGATTAACAGGTTTCCACCTACATACAAGATGATCAAGGGTTACTGGGGTATCAAATTCTCAGATCAAACTTAAAACAATCATGCTGTGCAGAGAGAGATAAAAAGCATAATTCAACCTATTTAACAACATAAGCATAAGAAAAAATACACTGAGTAGTAACAATTATATCTTTTATTTCCTAAAAAGTAGAAACGGAAAATAATACTTTTATGTCTGATAAACTCTTTAGTTCATCAGTGTTTCATTTATAAAACAAGGTTAAAGTCTTAAATTCCTAATGTTTAAATACTGATTTTGATTTATTAACTCAACTTGAAGGCAATGAAGAATCATTAGACATTATTATAATCGGCTGTTGTTGATTTGCAAGGATTTTTGAAACTCCTGAAGAATGTACTTCTTGTACACTTTAGATCAGAGGCCAGGAATTTTTTTCTGTGAAGGAGCAGACAAAATATTTCAGGCTTTCTGAGCCAAATGTTTTCTTTCACGACTGCTCAAGTGTTGATGTTGGGCCAAAGCAGCCACAGACACTATGTGAATACTGTATCTATGTTCCAATAAAACTTTATTTATAGACACTGAAATAAGAATTTCATTCAATTTTACTGTGAGGAGAAATATTCTTTTGTTTTTCCTACCATTTAGAAATGTAAAAACCATTATCTCCCTAGCTGTTCAGAACACGTAGTGGCTGGGTTTGCCCACAGCTACAGATGCTGCTTCAGACTGGGGCTTCCTTCGCATGCTGGGCATCAGGCCGACACTTATGTAAATATACAGTGGACCCTTGACTTATGAACTCAATTAGTTCCCGAGGGCTGGTTGTAACTAAGTCAATATAGCTATAGTTGAGATCAAGATGTTTACCTGGCTATATGCTATAGATAACAAAAGGCAGATAAATCTTCCATTAACCTAGTAACACAAGTTATTCATGTGTCAGGCTGGTCATAACTTGAGGGTCCACTGTAGCTCCTGATTTTGGAGGTTAACGCTGGCACACAGCCTCTGCAATTCTCATAGACACCTGGGTGATGCCACCTGCAAGCATCACTTGAAGAGTAAGGCTTTGGTCTATCGAGAACAAGTGAGGAGTCAATGTCTGGACCCAAAAACTACAGCTAGAGTGATGATCTCATGGACAGAAAGACTATATGACATCAGTACACATTTTTGGCTTGTAATTTCATTTCTTTTGGCCAGAAGGTTGAGTTTACTGCTACTGATTATATTGAAATAGAGTTCTTCCTTGAACTTGATCAAAACAGATAATGCCTATTTTTCCTATTCCTATTAAAAGATTTAAAAATTCTTCTATGAGACTACCAAATTTGTGGCATGAGAGCTTAAGGCTTAAAGGAAAAAAAGAAAACACATTTTCTGACAGCATGTTCAACAAGAACAGCTCCTAAGATGTTGAATTTTAAATTCCTTTGAGGATAGGAGGAACTGCAGCTGTTGTGATTAATACTGAACATTCTGTATTGGGCAAAACAATGGAATAAATCAGAACTGTGAGAGATTCACTTCAAACTGGAAACTAGACCCAGTGTGAATTATCAAGAGTCAGAGCACCTCTGAAACCAAGTCTGCACCTGACTCAGAGAATGGTTTATCTTTTCATTGTCTACAATGTTCAGGACATTTTCCATTCCTTGAATGAAACAGAACATAGAAGGTAATTTACTCATGACAGAAGCTATATTTTTAATATTCCAACACAACAGCATAGAAACTTCATGAAGGCAGAGATTTTTGTGTGGTGTAGTCTCAGCAAATAAAAAAGTGCCTGGGACTTAGTGGGCACTCAATAAATATTTATACAATAAGTGAGTGAATAAACTATTTTATTATAGACAGAAACATGCAAAATACAAATGCCAATATGTGATATTAGTTTTATATTATAATTTAAAATAATAATATATATTTGTCCATTAAAATATGTATCAAAATTAAAGTAAGTCACTTATAGAAATAGGTTGCATTTGGGACTTAGGAATGGCAATAAAAATTTCTGAATTTTAATTTAGAAAAATGTATTTAAGCTACATCCCTGGCTCTCTACTATTGTTAAATGTTGGAATTATTCCAGATTCAGGACCTCTCCTCACGCTTCACTCTTCTCCAGGTGATAAAATTTATACTCTGGAAGCTGGGCATGATGGTGCATGCCTGTAATCCCAGCACTCTGGGAGACTGAAGCAGGAGAATCTCAAGTTTGATTCCTAAGCAATTTAGCAATTTATCAAGACCCTGTTTCAAAATAACACACCGGGCATGGTGGCTCATGCCTGTAGTCCCACCACTTGGGAGGCAGAGGCAGGTGGACTGCCTTGAGTTCGAGGTCAGCCTGAGCTACATAGAGAAACCCTGTCTCAAATTCACTCCCCCCAAAATCAAAATAAAAAGTAAAATATGGGTAGTGGTTGCAGCTCAATGCAAAGACCCTGAATTCATGCCAGGTGTGGTGTCACACACCTGTAATTCCAGCAGTTTGGGAAGGTGAGGCAAGAGGATCGAAAGTTGAAACCCAGTATGGGCAGCTTAGTGGCTCAGTGAGACCATGTTTCAAAATTTAAAAATAGGAAAAGGACTAGGGGGGCCAGGGATTTAACTCAGTGGTTTTGCTGCCTGCTGTGCAAGTGCAAGGACCCAAGTTCGATCCCTGGTACCAAAAAAAAAAAAGAAAGAAAAGGGCTGGGAATGTAGCCCTAGGTTCAATCCCCAGTACTGAAAAAAAAAATTTACACCCAGAATTTCAATGACCAACTTTGTGCTGACAACTAAAATTTTTATCACCAGATCACAACGCTTTTCTGGTCCACACATGTAATATCCAAGCACATTCCTGGCATTTCTTCTTGAGCATTTCAAAGAGAATTTAGAATAAACTCAAGATTTTCACGCTTCCAGCCTGCTACATCTCCAATATGCTATTGCAACATCATCTGTCCAGCTGTGGAGACCGGAAACCTAGGAGTCATCTTTGATATGTCTCCCTGTCACCAAGTCCTGTTGACTTTATTCAACAATTTCTCCATAATCCCCCAGTTCCAAGGTACTGTTCTGTATTATAGTGTCCCTCTAACAGTGTCTCTGGAATTACAGTACTGGGATTCTACCCCCATTTGAAATCCATTCTCCCTACTGCAACCAGAGCAATTTTTTCAAAATGCAATGTGACACATACCATCCCAAAACAACATCAAAAGTCAAACAATAAAAAAAGAAAACAAAAAACTTTCACTTGTTTCCAGCTGGTGTTGGGACAAATCAAAGCTTTTAACTGGCAGATGTGGTAGCATAGACCTAAAATCCCAACACTCAGGGGGCTGAGAAAGGAGGATCACAGCAAGTTCAAGGCCAGCCTGGTCTACAAATTGAGTTCAAGAAAGCCTAACAGCTAGACCCTGTCTCAAAACACAAAAACAAAAGCTTGTAACTGGTACTGAAGATCTAGTTCCTATGTATTTCTCTATCCTCATCTCCAGCTGTACCTTCCCTGCTTCTGCTCATGGAAGGGGAAGAAATCAGAAACTATAGATGTTATTCCCTCTTTTCTACCCTACTTAACTTATATTTATACTTTAGATATCATTTTACCAAGAATGGTTCTTTAGGGGCCAGGGATTTAGCTCAGTGGTTCTGCCACCTGCCTCGCAAGCCCAAGGACCCGAGTTCGATCCCTGGTACCCCCTCCAAAAAAAAAGAATGGTTCTTTGGCCTCCCTGACAAAATAGGTTTTTCTAGTATCTCCTATTTCCCCTCCCTAACAAGAGCTACAGTTAAAATTTTATGTGTTTGTATTAATTACTTCTCCTGCATGTCTATCTTTTCCCATCACTGTATCCCTAAGGCCTGGTACAGTAACTGGCATAAAATAGACACTCAATATGTGTTGAATGAGTTAATGTTACTTACAAAGTATTATTGTTTGATTAAAATAGGCTACCAAGCCCTCGCAAGTGCAAGGTCCCGAGTTAGATCCCCAGTACCGAAAAAAAAAAAAAAAAAAGCAGGCCACCAAGCAATTCTATACAATTCTTGATAAACCTACCAGAGTTCATTATATAAACATTCTATTGTTATACAGGGAGAACATAAAAAAAATTATTAAAGGCCAGGTTTGGTGGCACATGTCTATAATCTCAGCACTCAGGAGGCTGAGGCAGGAGAAATGCCGAGAGTTCAAGCCAGCCTAGTCTACACAGTGAGTTCAGGACCAGCCTGAACTATATAGTGAGACCCTGTCTAAAAAAAACCAAAACAAAAGGATAAAAACCCAGAATGGGCAACAATATAAAATATTTTAAAGAGTAAACAATAAAATTTTCCCTTTGACCACTCCCAACTTCATTCCCAAAGCAACTACAGTTAATAGTTTAATGTGTATCTTGTATGTGTGTGTGTGTGTATATATATATATATATATATATAAAATATGTGTGTATGTACATAAAACTAAATGTATTTTAAAACTGTTGTTTCATACTATTCTTAATTTAGACTGATTTTTCTTAATCTGTCTGAATCATTGAAACTCCACTATATACCAAAAATAACCTTAAAAGAAGGTTATCAGAAGATGAATTGGCACATTAATCTAGGTTAAAATTCTATTCTTACCTCCTTCGCCATTCTCTCCAGTTTTAGTGCTCATTAAACAGGCAATAAACTTGTTATCCACTTGCTGGAGAACCTGCCATACATTAAGTAGTACAATACTAAATAAAAATTAGCAAATGCTTATCTGAATAGAAGAAAAAATTGCACTTGTAGTTGTTTGCATTTTAACATTCATATCTAAGACTGAGATAAGGTGTTACCGAACCTGAGGGAGTCCTTAGGAAGGATAAAAGAATGTTCAAGTTGGGCTGGGGATGTAGCTTAGGGGTAGAGAGCTAGTCTAGCATGTATTCATTCAATTCCCAGTATGGGGTGTGGGGGGAAAGCACCCAGGTACATAAGGCTCCCCTAAAACCTCATAGTCAGGGCCGGGGATTTAGCTCAGTGGTTTCGCCACCTGCTGCGCAAGAGCAAGGACCCGAGTTCGATCCCTGGTACCAAGAAAGAAAAAAGAAAACACCTCGTAGTCAATATCCAGTGTGTTATGGAACACCTTGATCTGGGGTTTCTAAGCCTTGTATCCCCACACAAGAAAGGGTTATTTTTATCTTTTTTTTTTTTTGGTACCAGGGATCAAACTCAGGTCCTTGTGCTTGCGCAGCAGGCGGTGAAACCACTGAGCTAAATCCCCGGCCCGAAAGGGTTATTTTTATTTTATTTTATTTTATTTTTTTAGCTCTATTATTTTTTTTCCCATTAAGTTTATTGGTACATTTTAGGTATAAAATACAGTTACATTCATCATTGGGATCTTGTACCATTACATGAGTATCTTGGTTCTTTTTTTTTCCCCTTCCCTTGCCCTCCCTTCACCCCCTCCACCCTTCCCTATTTGCAAAGACTTTGTTTCCATTTTTTTCCTTTTCTCATATTTTTTCTTTTCCCTTTTTTCCTCCGAAAGGGTTATTTTTAAAAGGGCATTATTGCGCAGTTAAGGACAACAAAGATTTATGAATTATAAAGTATAAAGTTAACATACTCCTCTGCAGAGGTAAATCCACAGTTCTTGAGAACTATAAGCCTAAATCCATAATTCATTCTCTCCAAGCCTGCTCACAGTACTAGGAACAATCCCTTGCTTTTTCTTCCGATGATAAAAGTTCCAGTAAGTTAAAAAAAACCCACACAATCCTTGATTAATGTTGTCTTTATCATTAAATAAGTCGAATTTCACAAGAGTTAGTCTAGTTTGGTTTCACATATTTCAAAGTCAATTTTTACCTGCATTGAATGAATCATTTCTTTGGTGAAACGATAGGGATACAAGATGTTGTGAATTTTAACTGCTAAGCTCTCGGCCTGGCCACTGCTTACATCAACTGCAACCTAGAACAACCCAACAAAACATAATTTAAATTTTAAATTTTATGTCTGCAAATTGTTTTACCAAGGACCTCAAAGTTCTTTAAAAATACTTTCATATAACCTAGTAAGGGTTGGTTGAATTCAGGGAACATAAAGATTCAAAAGGCTCTAAAAATAGCCTTATCTAACAATTTTTGTTTATAAACAAAATTATTGACAAAAATCAATATTGCTTTAGAACAACTTGCCTATGTTGCATGATCAAGACCATAAAGACATTTTAACTGAAGACTCAGCAGTCAAATACTCATCTGTTACATGCCCTCATTAATACACAAAGTACACTCTATGATAACACACTGAGGAGAGAACATGCATGGAGGCCCCATAATGAACTGTTCCTCCAGTAGAAGATTCTCTACTTTGTCTAATGGTAACAGTTTTATTATCACTCTGAATATTTTACTGAAGCTCAGTGTAAGGGCAAATGCATTCACTACTCATACACCAAATATACACATTTAATCCAAAATGCCTGAACTTTTGAAATGTTCTTCCCTTCTCTGTACATTAAACATAAATTTTCAGATAGGTTATTTGGAAACATGCCTAATTTTGGTCACAATTACAACAGGCCATACCTAGCTTACATGAATAACAGGCCCCCCAAAATTGCTGCAAACCTACCTCTGGGTAACGGGAAAATACTGGATTGTCCCATTCTGATAACAAAGACTGAAGTGATTCATTACAACCAACAGCATCATCCACAGCATCTAGGACAAAGTGGACAGGTGAGCATCAGGAGCCCTTCGGAAAAAAATGAATGACCTCTCCTGTTTGGCTGCAGTCTGTAGAGCAAAGATCAGACACATTGTTCCTATATGCTACAAATGTTCTGGCTTTGTTATACTGTATTAATAAGTTGTTGTGCTGTTATTTTTTCAACTAGAGTTGATGACTGTATCTTCTGACATTACAGCTTTTCTCCAAACTGTAATCTCGAGAGAATTCAAAATACAAGTTCAGAAGAAGTCACGGCACAAATTAGTAAATTTACTGGCTTTAGGTAAAAATATGCCTTACCTAATTGTTATTATTTTACCTTACCTGTTTTTTGAAACAAAAAATAATAGATTTTCTGTAGCTTTTGTCACAGGGTTTGGCTTAAATCAAACTAATGCAATATGGAGTGGAACTCCAATCTTTAGAAATAACAAATATTTCCCCACTCACAAGACACCACAGACTATGCATAATCACCCAGCACTGACCTCAAGTCTGGAAAAGTAATTTCTGATCTAAATGCATGCACCGAATTACTTAGTTCTGCCGTTAAATAGGGCCGTGGGGAATTCCTAGTTCCAGTAAGGCACAGCTGGCACTGATCAAGCTTAATAATGCAACCCTGCTCTGTTTTTCACATCAGGTGGTACAATGTGTACTAGGTGTCCCTGCAATCTCTGCTCTTGCCCCTACCTGTGTTATTCTGTCTCATCACAGTCCTTTCTTCCCGAGCTCTTGGAAGGAAAGGAAGAATAAGGTCACTTCTAAAAGGATGACATCTGTACTGAGATCCTAAATATAAAAAAGAAAAACCTAGAAATTTGAACTCAACATACAAATAAATGATTAAAAATTATATAAGGCCGGGGATTTAGCTCAGTGGTTCTGGCGCCTGCCTCGCAAGTGCAATGTCCCGAGTTTGATCCCTGGTACCCAAAAAAAAAAAAATTATATAAAATCTCCACAAAGTGAATGAAGACATCAAACAGCTATTATACACTAGACTGAGAACCAGAAGTTCTTTAATGAAATTAATCTGCCATATTAGGAATCTGCATTAATCTTTATTACCATTATCCCTCTACATCAGATAGAATGGAAATCTAGAATAGGTCAGTGACACAGTAGGGGGGGTTGCATGGGGGAACATTCGGCAAGTTCTTGAGATATTCTTTGTTGCCACAATTGAGGTGAAGGATGCCACCGGGATCTAGCAGATGAAGGTCAGTGATGTGCTATATACCCTACAATTCCTAAGACGAATGCTGCAGTAAGAATTACCCAGAGAAACCCTGCTAGACAGACAGTGGTATTAATTGTCACCCACAACTTGCTACAACCTCCACATATCCCCAATGTGTATGTCTCTTATCCCCAATATGTGCTTACTATACAACAGCATTTACCTTATATCACAATAGACTGTGAAATGCTTAAAGCAAAGTCAGTTTACCTGCAATGTGGCAACATCTAGCAGAGTGACAATCACAAATGTTGAATGAATATATCACAAGACGAATGAATGAAAAGTTCTTAATTTAGCCAGGTGTGGTGGTGCACCCCTGCTAATCCCAGCAATCAGGAGGCTGAGGCAGGACAATCACTGCGAGTTTGAGGCCAGCCTGGGGTACACAATGAGTTTAGGCCCAGCATGAACTACATTGCAAGACCTTGTCTCAAAAGAAAAAAAAAAAAAGAAAACTTCTCAAGTCAAATTCCAAAGTGTGGTATGAGTCTGCTCAAACTCTACACATCTCTGAAGTATGATTAGGTGTGAGTTTTAGAAACAATGCTGAATATGACAGTTTTGAACAGAGCAAAACATGGTGAAGCTCCTATTTCAAAATGATAAATTTGGGCTGGGGATTTAGCTCAGTGGTTCCGCTGCCTGCCCCGCAAGCGTAAGGACCTGAGTTCAATCCCTGGTACCAAACAAACAAACAAGATTTTATTCTTTGGGGCCGGGGATTTAGCTCAATGGTTCTGGCGCCTGCCTCAAAAGCGCAAGGTCCCGAGTTCGATCCCTAGTACCAAAAAAAAAGAAAAAGAAAAGATAAATTTGCTGGACAAAAATGGAAGAGAGAAATTAAGACTTTATTAAAGTAGGAGGTAAAATAAGGTTGTATAAGTGGTAATGGGGAGGACTGTGTTACAGATTTTTTTTTTTTTGTACTGGGGATCTAACTCGGGTTCTTGCGCTTGAGCAGCAGGTGGCGAAACCACTGAGCTAAATCCCCGGCCCACAGATATTCTTAAAAGAAAAAAACTGCAAGTGTTTGTGAAGTTGATGTTGCTCTTTAAAATTACCTTTATAGGTGCTCGAGTAATTTAGTTCATGTAACATTTGTATGTGTGGGTCAAACATGCTCTAATGTCTTACTTGTTTCCACACCAAAGATATTTTTCACTGAGAGGCTGTGAGTTAACATAACCCTCAAAATTCACTACAAGATATGTTAATCCAGAAAGTGGAGTGGACTGAAGTGTTTTAAATATCTAGACTTAACAGGAGCAGATGTATGTTGAGTATGGCAGCTAGAACTTCCCCCTCTGTTTTGGCAACAACAGTATCAGTTTAACATAATCTAGTTAATTTCTGGCACCATATCAGAAGCAGCTGCATTCCATAAGATGAGGCACTAGTGCTTTAGATTTACCTCTGAGAAACATTCAGAACAAATCAGTACAGAAAGTGAGCTAGCTTAGAAAACACATAATGTTGTCTTAAGAGTAACTTGATAGTCTCAGGAGCAATATAGAAAGAAAAGGGTTTTCTCCTCCTGTTGAATACTTTGAAAGTTACAATACTGATTATTTTTTTCACAAGGAAAAAAGTGAAAAACATTTAAAAATAAAGGTCTTGTTTATCCTTAAATAAGTCAAAGTCTCCTAGTAGAGATATTTACCTTAAGAAATTATATATCGATTTGCATTACATTCATACAATTGACATTCTTTTGCATCATTCAAGACTTTTAATATGGATACAGATTTAATGTTTATCTTCCTAGTCCAAAGCCAAGATTATAGCCAGATGGGAATCAGCTTTACCATCTCTCAACATCTGGCTCGCAACACACTGCCAAAACAATGCCACCTTTAATGCTGACTGAGGCCTGAGGACCCAGAGTCCTAGTCTAGGCTCTGATGTAGCCTGTGGTATGATCTAAAAGTCACAATACTATTCTCCTCAATAGTGTCTTCTTATACCCAAATATATCAAGTGGATTCCTATATACATTATAATAAAGTACACTTGACAAGTATAGTTACAAAAGTATGTACTTACCCTATATTTTGAAAAACTGATGGTCAAGTCCTTTCTGGGGAAAGAAGTTTATAAAACAGTACTGTACTGAGCCATGGATTTTATTGGAAAACCTAGGATGATTACAGAATCATCCTAGCCTTTAGCGTACGAGTCACAGAAAGAAACTTCCATACCTTTAAAGACAAATTTCTAAGAAAGTTGTGTTTTCGGGAAGAAGAGAAAAGTAGGGCAGGGAAGCACTGTGGATCTTCTCAGCTATAAATAACATTATTCTTATTAAAATGAACAGTTTTGCCTTTCCTTTTTCTTAGGTGTGATTAAAAATACAGTGAAAATGGACCTCTTCCTCTTCATGGCTATCACTGAAGCTGCAGTGATCAAAATGAAGTTCAATCCTTTTGTGTCTTCAGACCGAAGCAAGAACTGTAAAAGGCGTTTCAGGGCCAGGGATTTAGCTCAGTGGCACCGCGCCTGCCTTGCAAGCGTGAGGCCCTGAGTTTGATCCCCGGCACCCACCCGCCTCAAAAAAGGCATTTCAATGCACCTTCCCAGATTCACAGGGATTATGTCTTCCTCTTTTTGCTAAGAGCTGAGACAGAAACACAATGTTCAATCTATGACCTTCTGAAAGGATGATGAGGTTCATTTTGTGCAAGGACACTATAAAGGTCTTTAAGGTAAGCAGATTGGCAAAGTAGTCCAGGTTTAGGAAGAAATATGTCATCTACATTGAATGGGTGCAGCGGGAAAAGGCAAATGGCTTAACTGTCCATGTGGGAAATCACCCCAGCAAGACGGTTCTCCCCAGGCTAAAACTGGACAAAGACTGCAAAAAGATTCTAGAATGGAAGGCCAAATCTCCCCAAGTAGGAAAGGAAAAGGGCAAATATAAGGAAGAAACAATTGAGAAGATGCAAGAATGAAGTCTTCTCATACACAAGTTTGATTAAACTGCTAAAATGAAAACAAAATACAGTGAATGTTTACATTTTTAAAACTTTATTACAGAAAAGACATATAACCATTAATCTTCCTCACTTCGTACACATTTATCCCATTATTTTTGCCACTTTCTGAGCAGTTCTGAAAGTCTTCTTTTGTGAGAAACGTTACCTTAATGTCTTGAATAGATTCAAAACATTTACCTTTCATAATCATTTTGACTTTGGGGAAATGTCAGAAATTGCATGGTGCCAGATCCGCTGAATAAGGACATATGTTTTTACAAGCCTGCCTTCCCATTGGATGGCACTTGGTAACAGCATTCATTTTTTAATTGCATCTTATAAAAATACTCACAAAAGAGGACTTCTAGAACTGCTTCAGAAAGTGGCAAGAACAATGGAATAAGTGTATCTGAAGGGGAAAGATTGAGAGGGATCAATGGCAATGTGTCTTTTACTGTAATAAATTTAAAAAATTTAAACTTTAGGGCTGGGGATATAGCTCAGTGGTTCCGGTGCCTGCTTTGCAAACGCAAGGACCCGAGTTCAATCCCCGGTACCAAAAAAAAAAAAATTTAAACATTCACTGTATCTTTTGCTCACTCCTTGTACATATATATATACCCATAGAAACACATATATACACTTACATCTTTTTTTTTGAGAGAGAGAGTCTCACTCAGAGTTCAGGCTGGCCTTGAACTCACTATGGAGCCTAGGCTGGCCTCATCCTCATGGCAATCCTCCTGCCTCAACCTCCCAAGTGCTGGGATTACAGGCATGCACCACCACACATGGCCTTACATGTACATCTTTTATCAGCCTTTCATTGTAATTTCTGTATTTAATTAGTGCTGGACCTAAAAAAATCTTTATAGACTATAAAGAAAAACATGTTTCAGGGCCGGGGATTTAGCTCAGTGGTTCCACCACCTGCTTCGCAAGCACAAGGACCCGAGTTCAATTCCCGACACCAAAAAAAAAAAAAAGAAAGAAAAACATGTTTCATAATCAGTCTTCAAATGTTCTATCTGGTGAGCTGAGATTATCTCTTTGAATAACAATTACCTTACTCCTTGGACCTTCTTCCTATCTTCAAAAGCATTTCTGACCAGTGAACACTACATAGTACTTACCATTCCCAAGTATCACATCGACAGCCATAGTTGTCAGATCTTTAGTACAAGCAGTCTTAACATCCTTAGTAGGAGCAACAAATGTGCTAAGTCCAGTCATTTTGTTGATGTAAACCATTCTTCCCAGGGCTACATCAAAATGCTGCTCCCAATCTGAAGAACAGTTGTTTGACTCTTCATTTTCAGAACAAGCTCTTGCTTCAGAATCTTTACTGGGAGAACAAACTCCATTTTGGTCAACTGTGGTATTTTCTGCTAGACTTATTAACATTCTACTGTGTGAGTCAGGACTTTCTATCTGTTGCTCTGAGGCTCTGATAAGAATATCTGCATCTTTAATTAATTTAACATCATTATGGGTTAATACTAGAGGAGTTTCAGATATCATCAGGTTCTCTGCTGTATTGCTGTTAGAATGTGTTTCACTGTTGTTATTGAAGGAATTATCCTGCATGACAGAATCTACCACTGGGATGATGCCACTCTCTATTTTTTCATGATCATTTTTAAATAACTGACAAAAATCTAGGACTAACCTACTGCATAAGTCACTGTCTTTTCTACTGGGATCTGAATTTGGAAATTCATTAAAATGTCTCATTGTTTCCATCATTTGAGTCTCTTTTTCAGAATCCTTCAGTCTGGACAATTTAGTGGCTAGTGACTCAGGTAACTTCTCAACATTCAAAAGTTTTCTGTTAGAGTGAAGTAACTCTGTTAGAGTTATAGGACTTTCTCTTAAACAAGGCATCTGTTGTTCCAAACAATCTTCTTCCTTGGAGAATGGAAATTTCTCTGAGTACATGATGTGACTTACTGGTTGACAACTATTATTTGAATCATTATGCTTCACAGTAGTGATTTTACAAACATCAGAGTTATCTAAGGGGTTCTTGGCTTTCAGAGAAATGTCAGGTTCAACTTGAGGACTGAGACTGGTAGTGACTTCACTATTCTTTTCCTCTACTTCTGTATCCAGAGGATTTTTAACCTTCCCATATAGTCTCTTAAACTTCTCTAAAGATCCTAGTTGTGAACTCAAGCTTAGCTTTTTACAGACTATGGTTTTGGAGGAAGTAATCAATGTATCTGTTTTCTTACTATTATTTGAAACATGTTTATGCCAAGGGAAAGAAGAGGATGTATCGGGTAATAAGCAACTGGTGTGTGCTTCTTTAGTGCCTTCCTGAACAACTGCAAAATTTTTATAAGTTGCTATATGTTTGTTTGCTAGCCCATAACTTGTGTTTGTTCTGCAAAATTTTTTGTTGGGCAGGTGAGCAGATTTTTTACTTAAAGTACTAGTTAAATCTTTGATGTCTGGAGTCTCAACTGAATGATCTATTCTGTTTCCAAATATTTCTTGGGCATATGCAGGACCAGGTCGGACATAGTTCTTAAAGGAATGTTCTGCTTCAGTTGATTTAGTCTGCTCATTTTGTACAACATGAGTTATAAATCCAGTGGAACATAACTTAACTTGTCCATAACTAAAAATATTTATTCTTCCACAATCATTAGGCTCTTTTTTCCCCTTCTCTTTCTCTCTCTGGGTACTATGAACTCTCAATGATGTCCCAAAAGACACAGGTTGGCATCTCATTTCAGCAGCATCTTTACATCTCTCTAGTTGATTTTGAGTTCTGTTATTTTTCAGGACATTGGCAGCCATGCCATTAACAAGTGTACTTACTTTCTGAATTTCTAGATCTGATCCATTCTCCTCAAAGTATTGTTGTGTATGAGAAAGGCTCAAAAACATTTCTAAACTCTTTCCACATGGACTTTCTAAAGAGTTATAGTCCAAGCAAGATATTTTATGTTTCTCATTTTCTCTTAATTCTGATGTTTCAACTGTCCCTTGTTCTAACATCCTTGATGCTAAGGAAGAGCTGTCTGTATTGAACAAAGATAATTCTGTCATTTTACTATGGTCCAGGCTGTCTAACTCACAAGCGGACAAAGATGAGACATCTGTCTTTTTTCTGATAGCTTGTGAATCCCTAGAATTCTGTGTATTTATGTTTTCTATAGTAGCTTTTCTTTTCACAGCTTTTGATTGCAAATTAAACATTTCATAGGAATCCAAAATATTATTACATGCTTCCTGGAAACTGCCCTGGTCATGCTTTTCATCAGAGAACATATGCTTTTGAAGAGAAGTTCCAAATAAACTAAAATCATTATCTTCACTGAATTCCTTAATGTCTTCACCTGATAATTCCATAAATAATTTTTCTTGCTTTAAAAACATTTTTACTCCTTCTTGAATGCAAATCAAGAGAGTATCCCAGTTCTGAAACTCAATCAGAGTTTTTGCTGGCTCCATGCACACATCGTACTCACAGAATTGGCAATGCACGTTGATTACATATATCCCATGGAGTTCCGGGGTAGACCGATGTCGAGGACTTGAATTCATTTGCCTACTGGCAGAGCCATTCTTTGGCTTACATATAATACTTTCTTTTCTTAATAAAAAGTCAATGAGTTTATGCAACTTTGTCCTTAAAATTAGTCTTCTGTTCACAAACAAAAACTGCATATTCTTATTATAGTGTGCTTCGGAGCTGATATATCCACTAAGCTCAAATTCCTTATATCTAAAATGTATTTCTTTTAACTTCTGGGACTTGCCCAATCCATAAATTTGACAAAATCGGGAACATACGTCTTTGGTTTTAGGGAGCTGAAGAACCATAGAACCAGAAACATCATTTCTCAAAGAGAAAGAAATGGAAGGGTGCATGAGCGAGAGAGCTTCTACCCTCTGCCTAATCTTCTCAAACTCCAGTCTAGGATCCAGGCATTTCCTCCTTACAGGTAACTGATAAAATAGGTTATATACTGTTACTGTTGTTCCTGCACTTGGTCTAGTTAAGTCAGCTTCACAAGCTTTCAGGGCTCTTCCATTCTGAAACAGCTTCACAAATGTTTTCATTGTCCTGTTTTTCTTGGATGAAATTTCCACAGCACTGGCCAGGTCAGCTATACTTGCCAAGGCCTCCCCTCGGAAACCATAAAATCTTGGGTTCTCCAAGTCCTGAACTGAGTGGCATTTACCAGTGAAGTAACGATGTCCCACCTTGTCTATATCATCACTCCCCATCCCAAATCCATTGTCTATCACTTGAACTTGGAAAGTTTCCATATTCACCCTGATGGCCACACATTTTGCTTCAGCATCAATACTGTTGAGAGCAAGTTCCTCAACACACTGGCCTAAGGAGTTTATGGCCAAACCAGAACGCAATTTGGCTTTCACTTCCACTGACAAGCACTTGATCATGGCAGGTAGAAAGGTGGTGAGAATGCCAGCAACTGGTTTCCTTCTCGGGAAATAATTGCCTATGGGAAGAAAAAAAGTCACACACACTATCAAAGCTTCAGTGTTACATAGCATTACCTTTTTCTCTCACCTACTATGAAGAAATATTATTTGAAGTAAATGAAATATTTTATTAAACCAAATTATGAACCAAAACAGCACAAAACAAAATTATACCTCTAATTTCTAGGCAGATCACACAACTCATACTTGGTGCAAGAAATTTAACATCCAAAGAAGCATACATAATTTCATAATTTTCACTGCTCCCTTCTAAGTCCCTCATGCCCTGTAGTGAAATCATAATTACACTTGACATTGACCCGCAAAGACAGTACTCAAAATTCTAACCACTTTACCAAAAACAGATGCCTAAATTAAATTCAGCTAAGAAACATTAGCTAGAAATTATTCATGAAAAAATCCCAAGCTAGTTTCATAACATTTAAATATTACACAATAACATGACTTTGAGAAAAACTTATAATGAAATGCTAACACATTGTAAATAGGAAGGTGAAACAAAAGGAGGAAAGAAAAAAAATCAAATTCTTCTGTTAAACAGAGATAGGCATCAAGAGATTATACCATTTGTTATTATTATTGGTTAAATGTAGTTGCCTCAGGAGAAAGAGGCTGGGAATGGGACAGGGTAAGAAAATTTATTTGCATATAAGCTTTCTTTACCATTTGACTTTTAAATCTTGTTTATATATTACTTTGGTTAAAACAAACAAACAACTTTTGGACCCAGGCACTGTAGGATACACCTGTAAGCCCAGTTACTCAGGAGGCTAAGGCTTCGGGAGGATCCCAAGTTTAAGGCCAGCCAGTACAACTTAGTGTGACCCTGTTTCAAAAAACAGAAAGGACTGGGATGTGACTCTGTACCAAGGCCCTGAGTTCAATCCCCAGGACAGGAAGAATGCAAGACTTTTGGAGGGGGTAGGAGTGTAGCTCAGCGGTGTGGTGCTTGCCTAGAGCTTTCGTAAGGCCTTGAGTTTGATCCTCAGGTCTACATTTAAAAGACCTTTTGAAGGTCCTTATTATTAATTCTCTTTTGTATTAATACCCTTGATCTTTGCATATGGGCACAAACTAACCTGGCAATAATGATGGTATGGGCTGTCTGAATTTATCAAGCTTCTTGCTGGTATAAATTTTTCTAGGGCTATTAAAGGTCCCCTTCTCTACATTAAGTGAGAGAGCAGCGCGGCTGAACCTCTGGGGGTGGTAGGGTGGGTTTTCCAAACCTAGGAAAATCTGGGCTTTTGACTACGGACTCAAGAAACTGAATTTAGCAGTCGACAAACTGGGGTGAATGCTTAATTAGTTCTATCATTAAACCCAAAGCAAAGAGTCCTTGATTCCATCCTAGTTCTTTGTTTTGTTTTTTCCCCTCCACCCTAGTTCTTTAAAGGCCACCCCGTAGAATCCGGACTGTCGGGTCCAGGCCTTCCATCGCCCGCGGGCGACTCGCTGCCCCGCCCGGCCCCTCGTTGCAACGTCCCAGCCCGTGCTGACCCTAGGCCGCGCTCCGGGGCCTTGGGCATCTAGCTCCAAAAAGCGGGCCTGCAACGGTCACCAGGGCCTTTCTGGTGTTAGAAGAGCTCCCTGGATCATCAGTTCGTCACGAGCTGTCCCCCCGCCCGCTCCGAGTCACCTCGAATCTCGCCTCATCGACTCTACGATATCAACCGCCTCGGACACCGTACGCGCGCACCTAGGCTCGGGAGGCTCGTGCACGCGCAGGCCCACGAGCATGCGCCTCTGAGGGGACTCGCCCGCCGGGAGCGTGTTAGCTCCCGCGACATCCCAGTGCGCGTGCGCACCAGGTGTTTCAGGCTGGGAACTCTAGCCTCCAGTTCTCGCTTCTTATTCCGCTTTGAAGTGAAAGCTTGCTCCTCCTCCCTCCTCTTCCTTCCCCTCCCCCATCCCCTACCTCCTTTCTTCTTATTTTGCAGTACTAGAGATTGAACCCAGGGCCTTCACACTGAGCTACATCCCCAGACTTTTTAAAAATTTTATTTTTTGAAATAAGATCTTGCTAAATCCCTAAATTGTCCAGGCTGGGCTCAGTTTCCATCCTTTTGCCTCAGCCTCCCAGAGTGCTGGAATTATAGGCGTATGCCACCACACCCAGCCTGAAAGGCTGTTTCTAGTAATTTTTACTTTTGTGGTTTTCGTTTCCTTTTTTCTCACTTTTTTTTCCTTGTATGTACTATTTAATTCATATTTTTTTATAAAACAAAGAAAGACAAAATACTTTTATTTACTTATGTCTTCATTAGAATGTAAGCTAGATGAAGGTAGGGGTTTTGCTTGTTTTACTTACTGCTGCATGCACCCAGTCAGGTCCAGTGCCTGGTGTATGGTGGGCACTCGATGAATAAATCCAGAGCCTTCCATTTTAGAATTAATGGTTTTCAGAGTTGGAAAAGACTAAGAAATGAGTTCATCTCTCTTAAGTTACAAATGAGGACACCAGGACTCCCCTCATTAGCTTTTTTGGTATATTCCCAGTAAGACCACAGCTTCTCTCCTGACTGAAGGAAAGCAGAACTCTAAGAACACTGGGAGAGTAAATGTTTTGGAAATTATTAACCAGTCCTCAGTTTCTGCTTTCTGTCTCAATTTCATTGAAAGCTAATTTTTTTAAAAAAATTGGAAACTATGACAAAATTTTGTAAACCCAGTAAGTGTTTGAACTACATTTGTTTAATCACTAACCAAACCAAATCAGACTTCTGGGGCCGATGAAGCAAAATTTTGATTACTGCATATATATTAGTTTGCTAGGGCTCCATGACAAAATACCACAGAATGGGTGGCTTAAACAGCAGAAGCTTATTTTCTCTCTGTTCTGGAGACTAGAAGTCTGGGATCAAGGTGTCAGCAAGGATTATTTCTCCAAGGCCTCTCTCCTTGGTTAGTAGATAGCTGTCTTCATGTGGTCCTTTGTCTGTGCAAGCATATATCTGTGTCCAGACTTCTTTATATAACAACACCAGTCAAATTGAATTAGGGTACACTCTGTCTCATTTAATCTTTTTTTTTTTTCCGATGGTACTGGGATGAAACTCAGACTCCAATGCTATGCAAGCACTCTGTATCTTTCTCTCTGTTCTTCTTCTTCTTCTTCTTCTTCCTCCTCCTCCTCCTCCTCCTCCTCCTCCTTTTTTTTAAAGCGAGAGCCTCACAAAATTGCCCTGGCTGACCTCAAACTTTTTTTTTGGTACTGGGGATTGAACCTGGGACCTTGTGCTTCCGCGGCAGGCGCCGGAACCACTGAGCTAAATCCTTGGCCTAACCTCAAACTTTTGTGCATCCTGCTTCAGCCTCCAAAGTAGCTGATATTAAGAGGTATATGGGGGGGGGGTCGCTGGTGGGCGGGCGGCGCGCGTCACGGCTATTGTGGCTGCCTGGGTATATAAGGTCCCGCCAGGCGCTGCGCTTCCCACCTCGCCTGAGTCCGCCAGAGCCCACAGGTCTCCCTGCACCCGGCGTCATGGGCAGAGCAATGGTGGCCAGTCTGGGGCTGCTGCTCCTGGCACTGCTCCCACCCATGCAGATTTACTCAAAACAAACAGCAGTTGTGCAACCTTCAAGTAACACCTCCCAGAACACCTCTACTACCCCAAATCCAACTAATGCCACCACCAAGGCGGGCAGTGGTGCCCTGCAGTTGACAGCCAGTCTCCTTGTGGTCTCCATCTCTCTTCTACATCTGTACTGTTAGAGACTCTGGCCAAGAAACGTCCCTACTTCCCCATCTTGTAAACCCAATCCAAATGGCGACCAGAAGTGCAGTGTGGCAAGGAAGAAATCTAATTCCACACCTTATTTTATTGATGCAGAAAATGCTAAGAATTCCAAATTTGATTCATTTGAAGGATGTGTGAAGGGACTGACAGACGATGAATGCCAGTATTAAATCTGCTGGAGGTTTTTTTTTGTACAAGATGAAGAGAGATAACAACATCCAAGATTAACCATGATTTCCTCAAATATGGTTTAAGAAATATGGACACTTAAAACTCTACCTTGAAAACAAGAATAGACTTGCAAGCGGAAGGATCCGAGTTCGATCCCTGGTAAAAAAAAAAAAAGAAAAGAAAAGAAAAGAAAACAAGAATAGACTATCTAGAAATAAAAGATGGGATGAGGAATGGAGACTCAGTTTTCATTAGGTTCATTAAATCTATACGGCCATAAAACATAATATAAAAAACTTGCATGATGCTATTTATAAGTAAATTAGAAGGAACTACCAGGTATTACTGTAATTCCTCAATATGTTGTTGCAACAGTACTAATTTAATGCTCATATCCTCTAGATAAAGTTTCCCATTGTTAAACTGTCACTGTTTTCTTGGAAACTGAACTCTTTCCCCCGCCTTCTGTGGCTTTGGATTTGATGTTACATTTGACTTTTTATGTGGTAATTGACATGTGCCAGGGCAACAGTGGACAGGAACCCACCCCCAAATCTAAGTATCTTGAGTAAATCTTCTTTCCAAAGTGAAATGGTAGGCATTTCCCACCACCTGTTTTCATTCAACAAAAGCACCAGATTCATCCAGCTAAACTGATTCCAAGAGTAAAATTGTATTGACCTCAACTAATTTCAAAATGCTGCCTTTTAATTTCTGTATATGTTGACTACTTCTCACAATCAAAAATAGTCTGTTTTGAAGGTAAAATTACAAATCTTGAAATTAAAAAGGTAAATATGCAAAGGAGCCAAAACTAAATCAAGCACTTGGGAAGCTAGAACTAGAAGCTAACTTGCATAAATTTGCAAAAACTTTTATACTTTTTCTTTTTTGTGTTTTTTTGGTACCGGGAATCGAACTCTGGTCCTTGTGCTTGCACAGCAGGTGGCGAAACCACTGAGCTAAATCCCCGGTCCATACTTTTTCTGTAAATATATATTTTTTTAACTCTGGATCACAGTAGCCACATTTGGAACCCATTCTGTTATCAGTCAATATTTTTAGATAGTTAGAACTGTCCTAAACCTTGATTTTTGCCATAAGTCTTTCTACAACTGCCTTGATACACAAACCCTTTTTTTTTTCAAGACACACCCTAAACTCTTTTGTTCCCATGGTCACACACTGATGCTTATATTTTCCAGTATCTAATAGGACCACAATAGTCTTGATAATCCGTCATTGCTTTCTCATCTTTAGGAATCTACATGGGGAGCCGAGGATTTAGCTCAGTGGTTCCACCACCTGTCTCGCAAGCACAAGGAGTTCCATCCCTGGTACCCCCACTCTCCAAAAAAAAATGGAAATCTACATGGGAACAACCAGATTGAACAGATCTAAAGCTACTGTGTGTGTGAATGAACACTCCCTTTTTTTTCATATCTGAATGCTGCACATCTGTTTGGATTGTATATTGTGTTTGTGTATTTATGCTGATTCATAGTAACTCATCTTATGAAAATGATTTGCATTGGACACAAACTGTAAATAAAGAAATAAATGGCTGGATCATTTAATCCTATCTCTTTAAAGGCCATATTTCCAGTAGTACTTTCAGAAGATGTCAGAGTATGAATGGAGTCACAATTTAGCCCATTACTTGATGTGAATTTTTTATCCAGAGAAAATCAATGACAGCAGAAGCTGGGAACCATTTAAAGAAATGATTTAAAAAACAGGCATGGCGGTACATGCCTGTAATCTCAGCACTCTGGGAGGTTGAGACAGGAGGATTGCAAATTCAAGCCCAGGCTGGGCAATTTAGGAATTTAGCAAGACTCTGTCTCAAAAACAAAATTATAAAAAGGGCTGGGGGCCAGAAGTGGCAAAGGCCTGTAGTCCCAGCATTCAGAATGCTGAGGCAGGAAGATCACTCCAAGTTCAAGGCTTGTCTGAACTACACCCTGTGTCAAAAGAGGGGGAGGGGTGTTAGGGCAGTGCATAGGCCATGCATTCAAATTCCCTATTACCATAAAGAAAAAAAGCAAGTGCTTTTTCTTTTAGATCAGACCTCTTTGTTACCTGAAAATTTTTCTTCCACAAATGTTTACTGAATACTTCCTTTTGCCCAAAAGGAAATTCACTATACATTTAAAAAGTACCATAAGCAGAAGGTTCTAATGTGTTTTTATTAATTACAACTGTGTGCAACTGTAATCCTTCCATTGTACATGTAATATACAGTAACAGTCAAATATTTGACACTAAAATAACTTATTGACAAATTTTCACATTGAACACAGAATAATTCTATGTTTATTAACAGTAGAAACCAAAACTACTGAATTTATCTTGGAAAATTTAAATTCAGGCCATTATTTCACAATTTGAAAATCCGAGTAATCCAACTTTAAAATGGCTTTCTCATTGTTGAAGTTTGCTCTTTCAATGTGTGATTTGGGACTTCCTTTTGTCTCAAGCCATTCCTGCATATGACGCACCTTGGACGTGGGACCTTGCAATTGTCCTTGCACTGTGCCCCGGTCAGTGTTCCGGACCCAGCCTACCAATCCCAGCTTTTTACCTTCAGCCTAAGGGGAGAAAAAAGACAGAGATCCAATGAGATTGTACGAAACAAAGTGAGACTATAATCTGTTGCCAGAATCTTGGCCTAGAATCAAGCCACTGAAACTAATTTGATATTGTCCAGAAAAGTCAAAACAGAAAGACAGCAAGGAGGATCTCACTGTTGATCTTAACCTCAAGTGTTGGCCACTTGAATCCATTTCCTTCTTTATAAAACCCAGGCACTAGAATTTTTCACTGTGTAGTCAGTTTGGTTAAATCCTAAAGACTTAAGTACAAAACAGATGCTTTCAAAATGACTCCCTTAGGCTGATTGTTTTTAGGATACTGAGTTGTATCTTGCTTATTTTCCCTTCTCTTAAGAATTTACTGAGTATGGTAAATGGAAAAAGCGTGAAGTTATCTGATCTTTCCCTTTGTCTTTAACCAGGACCACACCTAAACAAATCCAGATGAATTAGTGTCCATTATATCTTTAAAGATCATTAGAGAGCATTTCACAATTTCCTGGGCAACTTATCTATTGTTTTTGCTGCAGAGAAACTATCTAACCCTACATGTTTACATTGCATCTGGGGCCCACTTTCTGTCATCCTGCTAGAGAAGGAAAGCAGCTGTGATCAGCCTCTCAACACAAAGCTTTCAGGAGACTTCATTACTATCAGATTTTCACTTGACTTTCTTTCCTTTTGTCTAAATAATCACAGTGTCCTCAAAGTTGAATAACCTTAAGATCAACCAATCATTGTAATGACTCTGGTTTGATTTTTGCCTTTCTCTTTTTTTTCTTTATTCTTTTTTTTCTGTGTTCTTTCCTTTAAGTCATTAAGGTATGGCAAGACTGAACTTTTAGGAAAGGCAGCAATGTTTTAGAGAGGAATGTTTTTATTTTTGCATAAACATGTAATTAGGATATTATAAAGGTCATTGATTGCTAAAGTAAGCTATCTAATAGAAGGGGTTGAATTACAAAGAAAATGGGAGTTAACATGACTGCACGTCCAAATGCCAGAGTAGTGACCTAGTGAATGTGGGAAGTTATTAGAGTTTGCCAAAGAAAACATTATGCATAGCAAAAAAAAAAAGTTTGATGAGTAACTGTAGCATCCATCATATCAATTATGTTCAAAGCAAGGATATGTTTACATAAAGAACAAAAGATACTCTAGTCAAATAACACTTTAAGGGATGGAGGAAATGAGGAATGAAGAAAAATAGGTGATACCTACAGCATGCATTGCTAAGTGCCAGAGGAGAAAACATAAAAGAATGCTGAGAATGCATTTTGACAAAGACTCAACATCCCACTGACTGTGTATAACAACTGTACTCTTAGGCTTCAAATTAACCTAAGGGAGTTGGGTGTAATTCTTGGAGTCACCATATATGGTCAATAGCTATCAGAATGACTGCAGGGCCGGGGATTTAGCTCAGTGGTTCCTGGCCGCTGCCTCGAAAGCGCAAGGTCCCGAGTTCGATCCCCAGTACCAAAAAAAAAAAACAAAAACAGAATGACTGCAGTTTTAAGCAGGAGGTTATAACAGTTAAATAAATCTTTAAACTGGAATGTAAAATCTGACCCATATTGAGGATGGAAATATCTTCAGATTTTATTTGTGCACTTGATTCTGTTTTTATTTTTATTTTTAAATTTTTTTTTTCCAGCACTGGGGATGAAACTCAGGACCTTGCACTTGCCAGGCAGGTGTGGTACCACTAAGCTACATCCCCAGCCCTTGTTCTTAACTTTTAAATGATAGCATAATGTTCCTGATTTATGTGCAGTTTTGAATAGCTACCTAAATGAGTAAACAGTGGGTTTTTTTCCCAAGGAAAATTCCAAAAAGCTAATTCTACCTCATAACCATATTTCTGCTTAAATAGTCATCTTTTTTTTCTGACAACATTTTAAGGAAGATAATCACCAACCCTAGTGTGCAATTTAAAAACAGTCCCAGCCAGCTGTGGTGGTATACACCTGTAATCCCAGTACTCTAGGAAGCTCAGGAAGGAGGATCATGAGCCGGGCTTGGGCAATTTAGCAACTCAGCAAACTATCTCAAAATAAAAATTTTAAAAAGGGGCTAGAGGAGTAGTTCAGTGTGAAGGCCCTGGGTTCAATTCCCAGTACCACAAATAAGAGGGTAAGAAGATAAATAAATAAATAAGAAAGTCCTCTCAAATCAGTTACCTAGAATTCCACCTTAGAATACTGGAAAAACAGAAGCAAACTAAGTCCAAAAAAAAGCAGAGAGAAATAAATAATAAAGATTAGAGCAGAAGTTAATAAAGATAGAAAAGAATTAAAAATCAGTGAACCCAAAAGTTAGTTTTTTGAAAAGATAAGCAGAATTTTTTTTTTTGGTACCTGGAATTGAACTCAGGACCTTGTGCTTGCGAAGCAGGTGGCAGAACCACTGAGCTAAATCCCTGGCCCCAAAAAAGATAAGCAGAATTGATAACCTGTAGCTCAACTGACCAAGAAAATGTCACAAGGCTCAAATTACTAAAATCAGAAATGAAAGAGAGGCCAGTACTACAAACCTTAGAAAAAATTTTAAAAGTATTGTAAGGGGATACTATGAACAATGTATGCTAACAAATCAGATAACTTAGATGTAAAGTCCTCAGTGACAAATCAAATCAAGAAGAAACAGAAATAGAAAATCTGAACAGATATGTAACAAGAGACTGAATTAAAAACAACTTGCCACAAAGAAAAGCCAGGACTAAATGGCTTTACAGGTGAATTCTATGAGAGGTTTAAAGAAGAATCTTCCAGCAATCCTTCACAAACTTTTCCAAAAAAATAGAAGGGGAAATACTTCCCTACTCATTCTACGAATCCAGCATTATCCTTATACCACAGACATCAATAGAAAACATCAATATCCTTTATGAATACAGAAACAAAACTCCTCAACAAATTACTAGCAAACCAAATCTGGCAACATATAAAAGGTTTACACAGCATGATAAACTGATATTTATGTCAGGAATGCAAGGTTGGTTCAACATATAAAAAGTAAGCCATTTAATATACCATATTAATAAATAAAACAGAAACCATGTGATCATCTCAATAAATTCCAAAATGGCATTTGACAAAATCCAATACCTTCTTATGATAAAAAACTAGTAACAGAAGGGAACTTCCTCAACCTGACAAATAATATCTGTGAAAAACCACAGCTATTGTTATACCTAATTGTAAATAACTGAAAGCTTTCCCTCAAAATCAGGTATAAGACAATGATATCTGCTTTTACCACTTTTACTAAATATTATACTTGAGGTTCTAGTCATGGCAAGAAAAAAGCAGGTTGGAAAGAAGGAAATGAAACTACCTATACTTGCAAACAGCATAACTTATAGACAGAAAATCCTAAGGAATACATATATACAAACTGAAGCTAATAGTGCTGGGGATTATTTAGCTCAGTGGCACTATGCCTGCCTTGCAAGTGCAAGGTCCAAAGTTTGATCCCCAGTACCAAACAAAAACAAAAACAAAAACAAAACTTAGGCTAATAAACAAGTTCACACAGTTGCAGGATATGAAATTTGCATACAAAAATCAATTGTATTTCTATATACTATCAATGAACAATCAAAAATGAAATTAAGGAAATAATCTGATTTACAATATCAAAAATAATAAGATATTCACAAACAAATTTAACAAAGGACACGGAAGACATATATGAACAAGTACAAACCATTGTAGGAAGAACTTGAAGATCTTAAATAAATGGAAAGACATACCATGTTCATGGACTGCAAGACTTAATATTGTTAAGATTACAATATTCCCAAACTGATCTACAGATTCAACACAATATCAATATTTCAGCATTTTTTGCATAAATTGAAAAGTTTACATTAAATTCACATGGAACCATAAGAAACTCAGAAGAGCTAAAAAAAAATCTTGAAAAGGAAGAACAGTTAGGCATGGTGGCCCACACCTATAATTTCAACACTCAAGAGGCTGAGGCAGGAGGATCAACATGAATTCAAGGCCAGCCTGAATGACGTAGCAAGATATTGTCTCAAAATAAAATAAAATAAACCAAACAAACAAATAAAGTTGGACTTTTTCATAGCACATAAAAATATAACTGAAACTGCGCCAAAGACCTAAATCTTAGGCTATGAAAGGCTCAGAAGAAAACATACCCATGAACCTTCATTATCTTAGACAAAGGTTTGTAGATATGACACTAAAAGCAAAGCCAAAAACGACTAGCTAAATTAGACTTCATTGAAATTAAAAACTTTTGTACTTCAAAGGGTTATCGACAAAGTGAAAAGATAACCTACAGAATGGGAGAAATATTTGTAAATCATATATCTGCTAAGAGAGTACTATCCAGAATATATAAGAAAATCTTTTTAAAAAGGAATTGTTATAACGCAAGAAAAATAAAAATTTAACAAATAGGCAAAGGAATTGAATAGAAATTTCTCCCAAGAAGAAAATTTCTCCTGAGAGGATATATGTCTTTTTTCATGTGCCAATAAACATGGAAAGATGCTCAACATCATCAGTCACTAGAAAGTAAATAAAAACCACACTGAAAATATACAATAGACTATTAACTGGCCTTGAAAGGAAATTCTGACTCACAGACAACATGGATGAACCTTGAGGAGATTATGCTAAGTGAAATAAGCCAGTTATGAAAGGAAAAACACTATATGATGTCACTTATGAGTCAGATTAATAAAGTAGGCTCATGATTGCCATGGGCTTAGGAGAAGGGGAAAATAGGGAGTTTGTGGTTAATGGGTACTGAGTTTCAGTTTTGAAAGATGAAAAGAGTTCTGTAGATAGATCCTGGTGACAGTAGCACAACAATGTGTAAACATGCTTAGGGCCACTGGATTGTGTTTTAAAATGGTTAAAATGGTAAATTTTACATTACATGTATTCTACTACAGTTTTAGGGAAAAAAGTGTGTTATACATTTTCTGAATACTTTTTTTTGTGTACTGGGAATCGAACTCAGGACCTTGCGCTTGCCATGCAGGTGTGGTGCCACTGAGCTACATCCCCAGCACTTCCAAATAGTTTTGTGTTTTCTAGTTATCTTTCTGTTATTGATTTGTTTTTTAGCTCCACTGGGTTGGAGAATATTCCTTGTATGATTTAAATCCTTTTAAGTTCACTGATACCTGAAAACCAAACAAAAAGGATAATAAGTCAATAAGAACTCACATTCATTATTATGGCTATAATGAACAAGACAGTAACAAATGCTGGCAAGGATCTAAAAAAATGAGAATTCTCATACATTGCCTATGAGAATGTAAAATGGCATAGCTGTTTTGGGGAAGTTTGGCAGTTGCTCAAGAAGTTAAACAAGGAGTTATCATATAGCCTAGCAGCGTACTCTTAGCTATAGAAACCCAAAGCTTTAGAAAACATGGTCTACACAAAAAACATGTATATAAATGTTCATAGCAGCCTTATCCATAATAGCTGAATAATGGAAACAACCGAAATGTCTATGAGTTGACTGATGAATATAATGTAGTGTATCTATAAAATGGAATATTATTCAGCCATAAAAAGGAATAAAGCATGAATACATGCTACATTATGGATGAATCCTGAAAATATGCTAAGTGAAAGAAACTGGATACAAAATGCCACATTTGTGTGATCACATTTATATTAAATATCCAGAACAGGCAAATCCATAGAGAAAGAATATAGGTTAGTGGTTGCTGGGGGCTGGGGGGAATAAGCAGTAATTGCTAACAGGAAGAGATTTTTTTCCCCCACTGGAGTGATGAAAATGTTTTGGGATTGATGCACAACTTTTATTTTTATTTTTATTTTTTTATTTTTTGGTACCAGGGATCGAACTCGGGACCTTGTGCTTGCGAGGCAGGTGCCAGAACCACTGAGCTAAATCCCTGGCCCAAATTATACTTTTCTTAAGGGTGAATTTTACGGGATGTGAATTTCCAACTTTCTTTTCTTTTCCTTTTTTTTTTTGGAACTGGGGATCGAACTCAAGAGCTTGCACTTTCCAGGTAGGTGTGGCACCACTGAGCTACATCCCTGGCCCTATATTCCAACTTTAATAAAGTCCCTTTGTCTCTTTTCTCTCAGCACCAATCAATGGTCATTTCTTGGGACAACTGGTTCAAGCACAGGAAGACAGGGACAAAAGAAAGACCTACTACAAGAAGCAGAAATATGAGGTGGGATGCCCTGCTGCCAACACTAAGATTGGCCCCCATCACATACACGTAGTCCAGAGTGTGAGAAGGCAACAAGAAGTACCATGCCTTGACGTTGGGTGTGGGAAACTTCGAGGGCTCTGAGTGCTAAACTCAGAAAAACATGGATCACTGATGTCTACAATGAACCCAATAAGGAGCTGGTCCACACCAAGACCTTGGTGAAGAACAGCATTGGGCTTATTGTCAGCACATTGACAGTGGTACAAATCACATTACGCACTTGTCCCTGGGCCAGAAGAAGGAGGCCAAGCTGACTCCTGAGGAGGAAGAGATTTTAAACAAAAAAGCAATCAAAGAAAACTAAAAAGAAATACAATGAAAGGAAAAAGAACACCAAAATCAGCAGTCTTCTGGAGGAGCCATTCCAGCAGGGCAAGCTTCTTGCCTGCATTGCATCAAGACCAGGCCAGTGTGACCGATCAGATGGCTAGATGCTGGAGGGCAAGGAGCTACAGTTCTGTCTGAGGAAAATCAGGGCCTAGAAAAGCAAGTAAGTCTCCTCCCTCTGGGCTTAGCACATGTAATAAAGGTGTTTTAATATTTTGTGAAAATAAAACAAAACTAAAGTCCTTTCCCATACTGTCAGTCACCATTCTTCTATAAGTAATGGAATTTAAGAGGGTAGATGTCAATATGGAAACAGACTGTAGCAAAATAAGTGTTAAAAGAACCTATTTAAATTATTATAAATTCCAGTAAAGAATAAGCTACAAGTCTAATCAAGAAAAAATAAAGAAAAAGAAAAAAAGAGCCATGTATGCTAGTGCATGCCTATAACCCCAGCTCTTGGAGAGGTTGTGGTGGGAGGACTGAAAAGTTCAAGGTCATTCTGGGCAACATAGCAAGACTGTGTCCCAAAAAAGTGAGGGGGCATTTTCCTTGCAATTCTCCAAATCAAAAATTTTTTTTCTGCATTCTTTTATTCTTTAACTAGGGGGAAAGAGTAGGGAGGTAGGAAAAATGGGCTACAATATCTGGTCCTTTTCTTTCAACAACTTCAGTTAAACTTTGAGGTTCACCCTCATTTACAAAATCACAAGAACTTGTCCTGCATAACTGACAGCAAAGCTAGTTGGAGTGCAGCTCTTGTTATGACTTTTAGCAATTCTGTTTTTAATAGGCACTTTACATATAAGTGAAGGAAGAAATGATTTGCAAATAATTACAATAAAAGATATTGATGATTGATATTCGTATATCAAAGATTCAGGTTGGAATTTTAGTACTACAGTCCCAGCAATATGACACTTGGAAAGTTCTGTAGTTCTAATTTATTATCTGTGTGGCTGGGCATACATCTGGAAGGCAAGAGCCTGATATCCTCACAGAAGGCAGAAGGGAAATCGAGATTGCAGTTGTGTGTCCGTGTTAAGGGGAGATTAGTGATACAAAAGCAGAAGAAGAGGCTGCCAGTTGTTTGTTTATCCCCTCCAATAGTCCCTATTACTCTAGTAGGAATACCGTACTCGAAGTTCAGTGTTACCATTACCTATTCTCAAATGGATACAGTATTTTCAATTAGAAAAACTTCAGCTAGAAAAGATGAATGTTCTTTCTGAGCCAAAAAGTTCAGAAAGAAATTAAGTGAGGTTTTTGGAAAACGTTGGAGAAATGAAAGAGGTCTGAAGAAAATGTAGCAGCTATGATGGAAGCAATTACATAGCTTACATACCTATAATCAGTTCATCTAAACACCCCTTCAGTCAATGGTAGCTTTCCTATGGGAGTGTGACTTGGTAGAAAGAAGATAACTATCAGACAAGAGGAAAGGAAAAAGGTGGGCATGGTGGCACACACCTGTAATTTTAGCACTCTGGGAGGCTGAGGAAAGAGGACCACAAGTTCAGGCCCAGCCTATAGAATTTAGTAAGATTGTCTGAAGATAAAAATTTTTTAAAAGGCTGGCTGGGGATGTAGCTCAGTGTGAAGCCCCTGGGTTCAATCCCCAGTGCTGCAAAAGAAGAAAACAGGAAGAGGGAGGGAGGAACAGAGGGGGGAAGGAGGAGATGGAGGGGAAAATAAGGGAAAGGAGAAAGGAGGTGTAAGGGACAGTAATGGGGGATGAGTATGATCAAGATATGTTATATGCACGTAGGAAAATGCCACAATAAAACCTAGCTTTGGGCCGGGGATTTAGCCCAGTGGCACCGTGCCTGCCTCGCAAGTGCAAGGTCCAGAGTTTGATCCCTGGTACCAAAAAAAAAAAAAAAAAAGTTTTGTAAAATTAATATGTACTAATTTAAGAAAAAAAATGTGACTTGATTTGCTGATGCCACAGCAGAGTGAACTAAGAATATTACCCTCCCAAAGACTAAAGATCATTAATATTTAAGTCTAGATGCTCAGGAACCAAAGTTAGAGAAACCAATACAGATGGCAGGAGAATCTCTCATTTACATCGCATTTTATTAACTGCAAAGTATTTTCATATCCATTGCTCTACTCTACAAACTCTTTGCCACTCACTCAGCTTCTTCCTGTTCACATCTGTCAGAATTCGTCTCCTGTCCCCATCCTCGTAACCTAGGTATGTCCCCAATCCCTGTAGGCCACATACCTGAGTGTACTTGCGAAAAAACACCCCTTGCACCTTCCCAAAAACTTCATAATCCACTGATACCAAGCTGTCTCCTTCTGCCATGCTCAAACCTGTCAGAGACCAGGGAAACAAAATTAAAGGACTGCTCCAGAACTCCCAATCCTGAGGCACAAAGGACCTGACTGAACCTGTACCTCTCCATCCATCACTACTGCGACCTCTCCATGACCTCAAGGTTCTCAAATGCAAGAGGGGCGGACGTGTGCAAACGGCAGGTATGAAGGGAGAGGAAGACACAGGCTGAGGGAGCTTCTGCAAAGGCACAAGGTCCTCTTTGGGGCAATTACCTCCTCACAGTCATGCTGGCCCCGCTCCCTCCCATCCATCCCTCTTCCCCCTCGGCAGCCAGAATCCCCTTCCACTAACATTTCACGGCCAATGAAACTGACCGGCACGTCTTGGGGAGAACTAAGACGTGTCTCGTCTTCCCCGGGGCGCCTGACCACACAGGAGACTACCAAGCCGACCACCCTCCGGCCGCGCAAACTGCCGCTCCCGGAAGTAGTAGCTCCTCCTTTGGCTCTTTTCATGCCCATCACCTCTTCCGAACCAATCAGAGTTTACACCACGGCCCCGAGCCCGCCCAGAGAGTGGGATTTTAGGATGTGATTTGTTCCGCAAAGGAGAAAGCCAGGCGTTGGGGGATCTGTCCAGGGTCTGGCTCGGCCTCCGGAGATCAAGCCCCCACCCCACCACATTTACTAAGCTCGCACCCCTCTTCTCGTTTTCTCCTGGGAAGGTGAAGATACATTCATACATTCAGTAAAAACCGACTGACAGCCTCCTGTATACCAGGCACTGTTCTAGGCTGCCAGCATACATCAGTGAACACAACAGAACCCTGCTCTAGCGGAGCTTAAATTCTGGAGGTGGGAAACAATGAACATTAAACATTATAAATAAGCTGAAGGCTAAGGATATAGCTCAGCGGTAGAGCATCTGCCTACCATGTGTGAGGCCAGAGTTCAATCCCCAGCACCCAATAAATAAACAAATAAACTAAATAGGACACACACAACCTTTCTATCTTTTTTCTTGTGGTTCTCTTCCAATATTGGATCATGCCTGTGGAATCTGGACTTGCTAGTAGGAAGGGCACATATACAACAAATCTAAGTGGAAGTTATTTCTTCTAAGCTTCTAGAAGCTGCCCATCAGTTTACCTTACTAAGAAAATGCCAAAGAATGCTTAAATAAAGAAAGAAATCAAGAAAGAAAGAAAGAAAAAAAAGAAACCAAAAACACAAGCATTAACTCATGCTCCAAAATTTCAACTAAATCAATCAATCTAAGCCAAATAGCCAGGTTTATTTTGGGGAAAAGAGAACTATCAAAGGGGGTTTGTGAAAGACAGTTGCTAAAATTAGAGTTCATTTTGTAGACATTCAAATCTTGCACTCTTATGAGTAAGAATGTGTGTGAAGGAAAGCTGTTTATTGTTCCTCTTTGAATTTCATGTAAACATTAAATTTCTTCATAAGATTTCATATGTGAATATGCCAGATTGGCAGGTGTGGTAAAGTGCAATGGTAGCCATGGAAATTATATCATTCTCCTAGTTCTCCCATAACAGAGTAAGGATTTAGGTCAGAGAGAGTCATAAGCTGTAGTGCAGGGAGAGGGAATAACTAGGTTGAATGTTGTACTTGGAAATATTTGAAAACAACACTAAACAATATACCTGATTGATGTCATTTCTTTCTCTAAGTTCTTTTTTTTTTTTGGTACCGGGGATCGAACTCAGGACTTTGCACTCGCAAGGCAGGTGGCAGCACCACTGAGCTAAATCCCCAGCCCCTCTCTAAGATCATTTTTTAAAAATTTCTCTAGAGAATTGAAAACATATTGAACACATAAATGTATGGAACACCATATAGCCAGATTTAGCTGTTTCACGATGTATACATATATCAAAACATCACACTGTAAATATGTACAATTTTTGTCAACTGTGTTTTAACAAAGCTGGGAAAGAAGTATATAGGATCATTATTCTGGCAGCAGAAATAAAAATGGGTTTGGGGAGATGCTGAGGTCAAGTGTGGCAGTGAAGAGAGTGACACCATCCAATGAGAAGTTAGGAAAAGCTCACCTAGGGGAACAGAAATGTAAAGGAGGGTCATACATGAGAGAGATGAGGATAAGAGAACTCAGCAGAAATTGCAAGTCAGAAGGAAGAAGGGGCAAAGAGAGAGGAGTGGAAGAGGACTGATGCTTTGAGCATGAGAGAGAACTTGGAGAAGCAGCAGACTGTGGAATGGGGAGATGATCAGGAGTCTGTGCTCTGTCACGCTGAGTTTGATGTTTGCAAGGGACAGTCATGTGGTGGTACTGAATGGGCAGTCGGAAAACTGAAACAAAGGAGTGAGACTACAGTTAAGATGGATATCATTTAATCATGAGTGCATGCCGAAATTTCATCATTTAGCACAAATATATATGGGGCAGATGGGGAAAAGACCTAAATGCCAGAGACCTGGGAGAAGAAGACAGGAAAATCATAAAAGAAATCAAGACAGCAGACTTGCATCCAGGAGACCGTGAGGACCCCCCTGGGCAGGCCCACCAGCTGCCAGTTTGACCTTGCAGTCAGACACGGGTGGCTGCGCCCTGCTCCGTCCACCTTGCCACACCCACTTACATCCAGGAGACCATGAGGACACTGCTCCCCCTGTAGGCCCACCAGTTGCCAGCTTGGCACCCCCCCGCCGGCCTCTTGGCTGTGCAGCTACCTGGTTCCACACTACAGAGGCACACACGGGGACATAAAGGCCATTGTCCTGAGTTGCAGAAGTGAACAACTTCTGCAACAGAGGCCCCCTGAGAGAGGGCCTCTCTCAGGCTCCCTGATGAAAACTGAAGCCCACTGGAAAAGTGAAGAGAATCTCTGCAATATTGGCACAACAGACCACTGTACTTGGTAAGTTGGAGGAATCATTACCTCCTGTTTGAACCTGGACTATTTTCAGGGGAAAGACAGCTGGAACCTGTAATAGAACCTTGCAGAGTTCAACCCTGCAGGAAGACAGGGAGCTCAATTTGGGACTTGCAGCCAGAAATCTGCCCGAATATCTCAGGTCTTTGACTGGCTTACTGAGACTCATTGACTTATAACTGACAGTACCACAGACAAAAATGAGAAGACATTTAAGCAAGTCACAAACTCAGACTTCCACCCCACAAAAGGCAATTTCTGGGGAAAACGAGGTGGAAAAGTCTGATAATCAACCACCTGGACACCCTGAACTGATAGCACAGGAAGTAACAAAACAGA